TAACAGGATGCCCTCCCGTGGGGGCTTTGACAGCACCCCGGCTTCCCTCGGTCTCGTAGTGAGCCCTGTGGTGGGGTTTGGGCTGCACCTCGATGTGGAGCTCATACTGGTCCGTGCAAGTGGGGAGGGGCCACTCCAGAGGGGGGTACGAAGCCAGAGGGATGCTGCGGTAAACAGGCACGTCATGAAAGTCATTAATATCACATCTTAACAAATCTAGAGAGTTTGAGTCTTTCAACCTGCAGAAACCAGCTCACCTGCAGATGCTGGAAACCAGCGGTTTGGGCCAGATCTGCGGGAGGACAAAGAAGGGCTCGGCAGAAGGTGTGCTTTTCAAGTCCTGGTCACAGGACACCAAGTAATTCCCCTGTCCGTGGCTCTCCGGGTACAGAGTGTAAACTTGATTGGATGTTTTGACTATTTTAGTAGGCACCAGGCCTGGCTGACCACTGCCAACCCCATTCACACCTTCAACAAGGCCACTGTGTGCATAGAGGCCTCCTGTGTTGTGCTCCTCCTGGCCTGGAGAGGGGGTGCGGGAGCGGTGCCCAGGAATCGGCCCTGAATTCCGGTACATCTCGTAGGTGCGTTTTCCCTGTGGGGAGGTGGAGCGGGACCCGGACCGCGGCGAGGGCGAGCGAGCTCTCAGGGAGCTGTCCTCGGCCAAGCTGGTGCGGGGGGAGGTGCCTGGGGAGGTGCGTGGGGAGCTGGTGTGAATGCCCTGCAAGCGAGGGCACAGATCTCCAGGATTCTGGCTGTTGCTGGGGGACACACACGGGGACGCCCACGGTGAGTAGTTCTCAGAGTGCCAACTGGTGGAGGAGTTGCTGCTGGCAGGACTCAGGCACTGAGGTTCACGGTAGGCCAGGTTGTCATAGCCAGGAACGGTGAGGGTGGGTCGGGGGCTGATGTTCAGGTACTGGTTCTGCAAGGAGTCCCGGCCGTGACTGTAGAGCTCGCGAGAAGGAGTGATCTCAATGCGAGGACTCAGGGCCAAGCCTGTGGGCCGGGCGTTGTCCAGGTACTTCCTGGCCTCCTGATTTCCATACCCTGAGAGGACCTCAGTGCCAGGCTCGGTGTAGGAGGGGCTACAGGACTTGACCCTGTAAGGGGACGTCTCATCCAGCGGTAACACCTGCTCCGATTCTGGACTGAGCCCTTTGTGAGCTGCAAGGCCCGGGTCATCTGAAGTCAGGGAAAGAACACAAGAGATCAACTCCTTCAGTAAACACATCCAGAAGCCGGGTTAGATGTCTTCACAAAACCAGATCAGTAACATAGCTCTGCTGCTAGTTCTGTCACACCCGCAGAGGTTCAGATAAATAACGTGAAAACATTAACATGGTTTAGTCAGGCTCATCTAAATATAAAGACCTGCAGCATCTGCTTATGCAAAGATGAGCTCATAAATTCAGCTGCACAGGAACCTTCTGATCTGTTCACTTATCTGGTGTCTTCTCCTCCTAGTGACTAAACAACCGCATCAACTCAAATAAACATCTTCTCCCAGCATTTACTCCCGTCACGTGGCTTCATGTCACTAACCACAAACTGATTTACTTTTCATTCAAACGAACAAACTCTGCAGGTTTTATGTTGATGAACCAGAGCCAGAGGAACCAGGGGTCAGCTGAGGTGACCGAAGAGCGTCTGACCAACCTGCATCAGCCCCAGAGAAGTCGCTGCAGGGCGGATCATACTCAAACAAGTACTCAAACTGCAAATCCTCATCGGGACAGTGGATGTGGACGAGCTCCTCCTCCAGATCCGTCTCGCTGTAGAAGGAGGTCATCTGTGGTCTCCTCTCTCTCCCCTGTGAGGAGGACTACTCCGGGCTGCTGAGGACGGTGCGACGCTGCTGGGAACCAGCTCCAAGTCACGCATCGGTGGCGAGGCTGCAGGTGGTGGAGCGGCAGCTTCCTGTTTCTACTTGCCGCTGAAGGCGGGTCTATTTACAAACGGAGCGCTTGTTTGTGCGCATCAGCGGGCTGAGTCGCCTCCCCACCTCCAACCCCGACTCAGGAGACTCGCCGAGCGGGAAGCGACAGACATTACCGCTGCAGAGCGACGGCTCTGGCGCGCAGCCTGGTGCTGCCCCCGGGTGTTGGACAGGCTGCAGTGACGCTGAGGGGAGCGGGTTCGGCAGTTCCCGGGTTACCAGCAGCCAACAGAAATATTTACTACAAATGGGGATAAAGTATGCATGCATTGTTTTCTGCTGCATCATCTACCGGTCTGCTTCGGATTGGTCTTCCTGGTCACGCGCTCTTTGTTGTCAGACGACGCACAGGTTCTCCTCGGGGGTATCCCCAAATTTACGCACGACGCAACACACCCAGCGCGCTGGAGTGCGCGATCAGTCGGCGGGAAGTTCCAGCTGGTAAATCTGGAGGTTTATTATTGCACATCAACCAATTCCAAACGGAACATTTCAGTTTGGAGAGGAAAATAAAGAAGAGCGAACTTTTATTAAGCGTCTCTTGGACTTTTTTTTAACCCATTAGAAACAATTTTGTGTCTCGTCTAATGCGCTGAATTTCTTTAACGGATTATTTCCCATAATGTCAGCCCTTTACACACCATGGTGAAGTTTTATCAAGGAAAAAGTCAAATATTTTCATTACCAGAAAATCACAACACTTCAGCAGTACCTTGATCCATGGACCGCATCATGTGGTACTGAGCCAGCTGTCTCCAGTTCTCCTTGAACATATGGATGAAACAACAAAAACCAAAAAGGAATTAAAAATAAAAAAGAAAGGGCGCTGCTCTAATTCATTCTCTCCAGACAGCCATAGCAGAGCAGACTGTCTTCTGGGGAGGAAACAAAATACACAAAAGAAAAATGTTCTGTAAAAGGAGTTCAAAAGCTGCGCGCAAATGTACTTTCCCCGCATAAGCACGCGGCAGCAGCAGCTCCTGCAGATTCTGCTGTGAAGCCTCCCTTCCTCGAGCTCTATAAGTAATACTTGAGCATCAGGCGCAGTTTCCTTCCTCGCTCTGGGTGTTTATAATGCTCCAGTGCTGTAAAATAACGGGATTCCCTCACTGTTTCCTCCTGTTTGTGCGCCTTTGCCATGGAAACCTGGAACCGGCCCATGTCCGAGACTCAGGGCTTTCCTGCAAAGCCCCACACTCAGGAATCCATGACGTCTCCAGCTCCCGCGCCAAGGCATTTCTGCGGCTTCGCTCAGACAGTAGCACACAAGAACCTCATTGTAGGCATGAAGAAATGACTGTAGGAGCGGAGAGGGAGAGGGTTCACAAGTTTCATTATGAAGACGCTATCTTGAAGCAGAGCTGCCTCTTGTTGTACACGGAAAAGTAAAAATGATGAATAAAGACTGAACAATGATTTACTGTAAAAAAAAAAAGGATGTTAACCATTTTCACTGTCTTCTGCTAACAAAACCATCCAAACCAAACTGGTCCTGTGCGAGGAAGACCCCTGATAAAGCATTAGACCAAGCTCAGATCCAGCAGTCACACCCAGACCTGTGGAAGTAATAAATCATTTTATTCAAACCTTCTTATCTCAAAAAGCTTCACAGGGACAAAAACAATAACTCTGGATGAGAAAAATATTCTTCCTGAAACAAAACAGAACTTTCTGAAGGTGTCCCATTCCAGTAACACTATCACACCAGCAGTCAGACATGGCGGTGGAAGTGTGATGGTCTGGGGCTGGTGCACCATCTGCTGGAACTAATGGAACCATGCATTTTGCTTTCCAGCAGAACATCATGAAGGAGAACATCTGACCTTTGACCTTAAACAATGCGTTCCTTCTGGAAAATCCTCCAATGGGGCTGAAATCAATCACTGTAAAGAGTGAGAATAAAGTCATACTCAGTTATCCCAAACAAGTGATCCAACTAATTTTCTGACATAAGGTGGTTTGGACAACCTTGTTCCTTTAATAAAGGAAATCATGTTTTGATCAGATTATCCTTGTCTGATTAAATGTGTTGCTAATTTACACTAAAGTCATAAACACATAAATAACAGATCAAAAAGGGGAAATACTTTGTGTGTAAAACCCAGAAGGAGCAGAAAGGAACTGACCCCAGTAGGAGGACACAGCTGTTAAAGGAGTTGCACCTTGAGGGGAAATATCTACATTTTTGATTTAACTCTCGTGCATGTGTGTAGTTTCCAGTCAGACAGCAACATTACACAATCTTTCCAATCCCAGGATTATTATTCCTGAACGCCGACAGACAGAAACGTTTTAAAACACAGCTTTATAGAATCAGGGCAAAAAGATGATTTCTACAAAATCCTAATTTCTAAACAAAACTGAAAAAAAAATGGGAGATTAAAACAGTTTTACTATTTATGTTGTTGATGAGAAATCGGGGGAATAAAGTTGATCCTGAATCCATCAGAGCTGGAGCTGAAAGAGTTTAAGCCTTCTTTACATTAAGAGACAGCTGAGGCTCACAGGAGCCAAGTGAAACCACATGTTCCTGTTGCCGTGCCAACAAGTGCAGGTTATTGATGCCCTACATGTGTGCAGATAAAAGTTAACAGGGCTCTAATGGAGGTCTGATTATTTTAGAGAATTTGGTGGCTTCATAAACCACATTTACTTCCTGTTAACTGGGTTGATGTTTCACACTTTGAACTAATAATTTGGTCTGTTTAGAATCAAATCTGATACATAATCTATATATGAGAATTTCATATAATAATTTTGTATAATCTAAATATTTTTCTCAAGTTGAAATGTTTAGGGTTTCACTTGATTATTTAGAATCAAATCCAAACATGCAGAATTACTTTTAACAACATAGAATCAAACTTCAGTCGTACAGTTACGGTTAAAATCTAACGCGGTTTCACACTAAACAATTAGCTAAGATGCACGTTTTAGCAGAAAATAAAAGTTTGATAAAGAAATTCTGTCCAATAAATCATTCATGTGTTCTGAAACCACTTTTTCCTCAGCGGGGTCTGAGGGAGCTGGTGTCATTTCAAGATCCTGGTTCTGGTCTATAGGGCCTTACATGGACAAGCACCATCTTACATTGGTGATCTTCTTAGTCCCTACACCCCCAGCAGGTCCCTGAGGTCCAGTGATCAAAGCCTACTGGTTGTGCAGCACCAGGCTAAAGGTCAAAGGTGACAGATAATCTGCTGCTGTGGCCCCCAGACTCTGGAACTCTCTCCCCCTGAGCCTGAGATCAGTGGACTCAGTGGTCTCCTTTAAAAAGCAGCTGAAGACTCACTTGTTCAAGCTGGCTTTTGTATGACCTTCTTCACCTCTCTCTCTTTATTCTGCTCTCCCCACCTATTCCACCTTCCTCAGGATCCACTAATGTCCCTCTTTCCTGTTCTCTCTCTCTCTTTCTTAACATTTTTTTCTTTTAAATCCCAGTTGGCTATTTTTGCTCATTTTAAATATATTTTGAAACATTTTCTAAATGCTTTTTTATATTTTAACATTTTTTTTGTTTTTGTGAAGCGCCTCGTGATTTTTATCTTGAGAGGCACTATAGAAATGATTTCTTCTTCTTCTTCTTCTTCTTCTTCTTCTTCTTCTTCTTCGACCTCCAGCAGTCACAGGTGAGAAGTGATGGACACCCTGAGCCAATCTTCAGTCCATCACCGAGGGTGAAGAGGTCCCCTATCTAACACCTCAGCGCCCCTGTGATGGTTTGGTTGTTTAACCAGAGATCCGTCATGGATGTGCAGAGAGAACCCAGACTTCACCACCTCCAGCTGGGCCAGTGGACCAAAACTCATCTCAATATTTTTAGCTGAATTCCAATTTACGATATCTATCTTGACATTTTTCTTCCTATTAAATATATTCACCAAAGAAATGTAAGGAATCAAAGTTACGAATGTCACACCGGTGATTTTATCTATGATCTAGTTTAATCTCCGTAAAATAATTAGAACTCCACCTGGGGCTGGGCCATGTCATCATTTGTTTCTGGTTTTGTTGTTTTTCAGGGAATTTTATGAATTCAAAATGATGTTTGAATTGTTTGTACCTTTCTAAACCATCTGTAAAAAAAGGTTTGTTGAAACACCAACATCCCCACGAAGGTAAATGCAACGTTTAGGGCAGAAGTTAGAACATAAACCCAAGACATTTATGATTCTAGAGAAAAGTCTTTTTATAAGTTTAGTCGGCGCACGATCGACCAGACACGTTGGAATAAACCTGACGACCGCCACCGTCAGAGCTAGCTGCTAACTCTGGAATGCACTGGTTACATATCCATAGCAGTACAAATGCTGGGTCATCCTGTTTGAAAACACATACATAAAAAAATGCTGAGGTGGTGTCCAGTCTGATTACCACTCCAATACCTTAGAAGGGGTCTCTTCGCTTTGATATTATTTTAGAAGGATTTATTATTTTAAAGCATTTTAAATGTGCATGTTGGGTAAAAAGGAATCAGATCTGATTATATTTAAATTGAGCATTCTTTCTAGACTGATCAGTTTGACTGTTCAGGTGACTTATGGTGTTATAACCCCAGAAAGCCTGACCCCATCCAGCAAATCCAATGAATATAAATTCCTCTGTAGTAATGGAAATGTTATGCATCTCAAATTATGAATGAGTACAAGACTAAAAAAAGAAAATGTCCCTGTGTCCAGATGGCGGGACTCACTCCTTTGGCTGTTTTTTTTTTATGTTAGGGAATGTTTTTTCTGAGTCTGTGCCGTATTTTCCGACCCCGTGGAACAGCTCACTGGGGCAGGCTTGTCTGGAGTAGAACTATTTTACTTTTCCAAGTGTAGCACGTGCGACCTAACGTTCAAACCAAAGCAACTGGACTCTAACAGGGAAACAAGATGGCATGCTGTATCTCACGGAAAACATTCAGTCAAAACTCCAGGACCAAAGAAAGCATGCACTTCTTAGTTCTCACCTTTAGATCACCTCTGGTTTAACCCTTTACTTCTTTACTTCATTTTGTCTGTCAGGCAGCGACAACACGTGATCATACTGACAGCAAAGGTTAACATCCAAAAACATACAGAGATGGCGTGTGAGGTGAGGATTTCTAAATACGTTAACATCATGAGTCAAGAATCAAATATCAATAGCCTATGCACTTCAGCCCTTTTGGTCATGTTGCAAATGTAAATTGGAAAGGCGTTTCTTTTGTTTAAGGACTGTAATAATAATAATAATAATAATAATAATAATAATAGTAATAATAATAATTATAATAATAATAGTAGTAGTAGTAGTAGTAGTAGTAATAATAATAATAATAATAATAATAATAATAATAATAATAGTAATAATAATAATAATAATAATAATAGTAGTAGTAGTAGTAGTAGTAATAATAATAATAATAATAATAATAATAGTAATAATAATAATAATAATAATAATAATAGTAGTAATAATAATAATAATAATAATAATAATAATAATAATAATAATAGTAATAGTAATAATAATAATAATAATAATAATAATAATAATAGTAGTAGTAGTAGTAGTAGTAGTAATAATAATAATAATAATAATAGTAATAATAATAATAATAATAATAGTAGTAATAATAATAATAATAATAATGGAATTAACACCTAAGAATAGACCAGACCTTGGAAAAAAAAAATCCTGACATAAAGTGTGTAGTCAAATGTTCCATTTACAGTTAGCTGCAGGGTAAAATCATTGGCAAAATCAAGAATATGCATATTGTATCGACACAATCAGAAACATGCACATCACCACAAAAATGAGTCAATGTGATAATAGCTTAACACAGGGTCAGCAGCAGCAAGTGTTCCTGATGGGGGATAGCATTCCTTTGCGTGCCTGTTTACATGGATGCGTTGTTCTCGGGTGGGTGTAATTGTGCCTGCAGTATCTGAGGGGAGAATTAATGCCTGAGGGGGGTGGATTTTACAGCCCGTTGGGAAGAAGCACCCAGGCTGGTGGTGCAAATCTTTACGTTTCTGCACTGCTTCCCAGGAAAGAGAGGAACAAATAGTTTGTTTATTGGATGGGTGGAGTCTATAATACACCTGGCCCTCCTTTGGAGCTGGCCAGTGTATATTGAGTTCAGGTCAGGCAGGGAGCTACCCACCATCCCACACAGGTAAGGTCCTTGCTGGCCTGTGCTGTGCAACGGCCGTACCGTAAAGTCTCACTGGAACACAGCATGTTCTTCAACGTGGCCCTGTTGAAGTTTGTGAGCATTTGAGAGGAGAGCCCAGCTCTTTCAGCTTCCTGAGGAAGACTAATCTCTGTTGGGCTTTCTTCATCAGGTAAGAGGTGTTCAGGGAACATAAGTGGCTATGTGGAATTAAAGTAGTCCAAGTATTGAGCCTTGGGGGACACCAGTGGTAGATACCAAAGGTTTAAATCAGCAAACAGGGTGATCACACAAATTATTATCACTAGTATTACTTTTCAACAACAGATAAGAACTCGGCTCAATTATTTGTGGAATAAAAACAATCAGTTGTGTTTCACAACCCTCACTAGATGTTGGACTGTTGTAGTGGCAGCAAAGACCGCTATGCTGGGGTTTCATTTGGGGCCGTGCTGGCATGTGATTGTGCAAAACGGAATCTATTTCCTTCCTCCCGCAACTTGAGATCCCTGGAAAACATTTTCCCTCTTCTCTCAAACACATATAAAGTAATATGTTCCATCGACATGGAAACTACATTCATCCATGCTGAATGGGATCACCTCAAGATACGGATCAATATTTGAGTGTATGAAGTGAAATTCAAATGTCTTGAGTGGAAAAGTGACACACAAGCTCAGAGGGGTTAACCTTTTTCAGTCCTTTTGTTTGGACTGCCCTCTGCCTCCTCCGGATTTTCACTTCAGCCCGACAGCATTCAATTGTGCAGGAACTCTTTGTATTTATGATCTGTAAAGAATGGATCAGACTACATTTGGTTGTCAAAACAAACGAAAATAATTATTGAACAATTCACCCCTCCCGTTACAACTGTGTTTATAAAGGCTAAGTCTAATTCAGCCTCCAATAATCCCTGGGTGCACCGGTTCTTCACACTGTACAAGAAAATCTGGACCTGATCCAGTCTGCCTCTAAGGTATTTGGGTTCTGTTGTTGAGAAATATTAGCCTGCATGATCAGGGATCTCGGGGAGGGGCAGGCAAACACATTCACAGTTCTGCTCTAAGTTGTGAGTGTTAATACAAATCAAAGCATTCCAGGCCTTCGCAGCTATAAATAGTTCCAGAGGAGGGCGTGTGCTCATGCCTTGCAATGTCTTTGTGAAAGGCTGGTCATTGCCTAAATCCAGTGTTTCACAGGGCAATAATGTGGTGTAGTAAACCATCGGTTCCTAATTCGTTCCATATTCTTCATCAGTGGTTTCTGTTATTTCAAAACAGCCTTCTGCAGCTACTCCAGACCAGATGAGCGTTAAGAAGGTTCTTGCATGTGTTCTTCAGACATATGATGTGGATCTGACATTAACATGTTTACAAAGGACTTTTAAAATCATGAAGTACAGTCTTTTTGGAAAGATTTTATAATGTCAGCATCTCTGACTATTGTTTGGACGTTCTGGTTCCATCACATGTTTGAAGCTGCTAGCGACTCTACAGAACAAGCTAGGTTTGGAACGCAAACACGATAACGATACACTCACCCCTACCCTCGGGCATCTTCCCTAAGACCCTTCTGCTGGAACCAGAAACCCACATTGCCATAGGAAACAAGAGCGCGCCAAACACCGCCGCCATTTTCTAGGTCCAAAAATCTTTTGATGTTCGTGACTTCGAACAGTGTTTTTTTTTTGGGGACTCTGGTAGTTTGTCCTAAGGTTGAAGTGGTCGCAGCCAGCTGCTTCTGTGTTTCACTGAGCAGAGAGCCTCTCACACCAGTGCGGTTCTGTTGATAAATACGTGAGTGTGTGATGAATGAAGATCCAGGGATGTGTGGAAATTAGTGCTGTACAATACTGCAAAATTTGGTATTGATCCGATACTACGTAAATACAGGACCAGTTTTGCCAATGCCGTACTTTACTACTAGTCTAGTACCGTCTAGTTTTGTGGGATTTATTAAGAGAATACATCATCAATGTGAAAATCTTGTCTGAAAACTCAAGTTTTATTGATTACTTAATTATTTTGTAAGTTTTCCTTTAGTAAATTGTGTACGATGATAATAAACAACAGGAAACATTTTCAGACAAATAAAAATTTTATTAGGAAACTAAATGGTTTATAGAAAACATGATTTTCTCTTTAGGGTGTGGTAATCTGCATTTATAGTTAAACTCAAGATTTTTTTCTATTTCCGGTCTGCCATCACGCAGCCACAACAGTGCTCTGCTGTTCTGTGCTTGTCTCGTGCTGGCGCACTCTTTTACTTTGTTTTTAATGTAATGGCGGACTGCCCTGTTGACCAACATCGGTGGCGTTCCAATCACAGTTCTTTAATGGTTTGTTGGGCCAATCACAGCGCTCTTTTAGCGAGGTAGGCGGGATGTCCCTACAAACAAACATGGCTGCCGCCCTGAAACGCTCCAATCACAGGTATCAGCCAGGTAAACTACAAATCAAGATGGCTGCTAGTCTGTAGTGGTCCAATCATAGCGCTCTATAGATTTCATGGGCCAATCGCAACACTAAGTAGGATGATGTTATTGGAAAAAAACAAAACAAACGTGACTAGTCGGTGGTCAGCCGCTCGTTTGAAACGGCTTTGGCATCAAGTTTGGACTATTATGACTTTAGCTTTTGTTTGAGTCAAGATCAGATAGAAGTACTAATGTTTATTTAGGAAAAGGATGTGTTTTGCATCTTCTTTGATGGATTTTGGTGGACTGCCTCGTTGACCGACATCTGTAGCAGTGAGTGCGTCATGGCTTGCCAGGCTAGAAGAAACTGAATCGATATCATCAAGCAGGTATCTAATAAATACTCAAAACCAGCGTTAGATCAATTCTATCGATAACTTAGATCGATCCACCCATCCCTAGAGGAAATGCAGCTAGACGAAAAACCAGATGGTCAAATCATTTATTTCTGTCTGCAGTGGCGGTTTTACCATTGGGCACAGGTCAGCGGCCGCCTGGGGCCCCCTTTTGTTGGGGGGCCCCCTAGCCCTGACTGCTGGCACCCCTCTGTTAATGCCACAATGGACTATTCCTTTAAGACGCCAATGCACAAACAAGAAGTGATTGGTAGTCATTCCACCCCAATCCAGTTGGTGGCAGTAATGTACCAAATTGTTGTTCCCAAGTGCCGTAAGACCACGAATAAAAAGAAAAAGAGAAAACAGAAAAAGAAGAAGAGAGGCGGGAGCGTTTGTAACAAACTCAAAGCAGTAGTTAAAACATGAAGCATGAAACGGAGTTATCCTAGTGGCTCCAATAAGAGAAAGAAGCTGCTTGCTTTAAAAAGGCTTTTATCTGCACTTCCAAAAGTGACGTCGTTTTTCGATGTAAACATCAAAAGGAAGCAGAAAGGAAAGACAATGGAAAATGTTTAAGGGGAGGAAAATATGGACCAAAATGGAAAATTGAAGAGAAAAAAAAGAAAGGCAAAAGCACAGGAGCACTGACAGGAAGAAGAAAGCACTCAAAGGGAGAGAAAGACAGGAAAAAAGAGGAGGGCTAATACAAAGTGAATATAACTCGTGTCAGAAGAGGGGAGAGTTTCGCAAATCCAGTTAAAGATAAGATTGTCGACAATTTAGTGTAAGGGGCCCCATGTCTGTGTTCGCCTTGGGCCCCCAAATTGCTAAATCTGCCTCTGTCTGTCTGAAACATGCTATTGGCAGAGGTTTTAAGAGAAACGCAAGAGATCCACCTTATTCATTCTTTGTTTTAATCCCTACAATATATTTATAGCTATACTGTGTTAGAACATTAGAGGCATGGTGAAATGTTTTAAGCTAATTGGTTTTCCACTTTTGCTTTAGCAGCTTCAAGGTTCACTTTCCCTCCAGCAGCTTTGGGAAAACATGCAGCTCGACTGGGACTCATGTGAATGAAGATTGTGAACAGTTCCTTCATACAACAATAAAATATTAGTCAAGCGAGAGAGAAAGAAAGAAAGAAAGAAAGAAAGAAAGAAAGACATCCCCTTCAAAGTGCTAGATCTGAGGTGGATGTCCCCATGCGTGGTTCATGGTTTCACCAGGCCACAGAAAGTTTACACGACGGGTATTTAAATCTACTTAAGGGTTTTTGTACAGTCACACCTTACATGTTGGCCTAACCCTTTTGGGGTCAGCCTTCACATGTCCGCCGAATGCGGAGCTCTAATCTTTTTTCTTAAGATCCCAAATTTCTGCAAACAAATTTTCCTCTCAGTGCTTTTTAATACTTCCAGAAAAAAAAAATCAGATATTAGAAAGGTGATATTTTTGTCTGCTTTTCAACATTCAGGATTAAATAATCTCTCAGAAAAAGCCAAGCTCCCGTAGAGCTCCATTAAATAATAAGTAATTGTGTTAACCTGAAAACTGGAAGAGAAGAAACGTCTGCACTTGTCAGATCTCCTGCACAAAACCAGAGCCTCAGCTCGCACACAACTTTTTACTGATAGTATTTGTGTTTGTGCACCTGTGTATAAGTACCAGTGTCTCATAGGTGTTTGCATGGACGTAATTTGGGGGGGGGGGGGGGGGGGGGGGGGACGTGTCCCCCCACTTTTTCCAACGTCAAGTTTTGACCCCTGCACTTTTTACCATCCAAAAACAATATTACGCTATATTAAATTGACACTGGTTGAGCTCTAGGACCAAGCGGAAAACAAGCTGTTTCCCATTAGAGCATACTGTAAAGATATATACACCCCCCCCCCCCCCCCCCCCTAAAGTGAAAATTACATCCAAGGGTGTTTGGTTGCTATGGTAACTAACCCTCTGCCTGCCAGGTCGGCATGTCGTTGGTAGATCACATGTGACGTCTGACACAAGTATGCTCTAAAATGAAATAATGATGAAAAGTTTAAATGTTTTAATGTCAGCTTGTTTGAACAAAATGCTTCACATTATCATGTTAAACTTTATTACGCCCTTATTAAATTAAGATGTTGTTGCTTTCTTTCATGGTGTGGCCATTAAATATTTATCATTTGTTGTTACCATGGTGACCCCAATGAGTCACTGTCATCACCTTTAACATTTCTTTTGATCTTGTTTACATTTCTTAACCAGTTTGGACATAAAACAGACATTTCGTCTCACCTGAGATTCTTACAAAAGGTTGAAATGACCGTTCGGGCCCCAGGAAAACAGCTGGAACTTCAATTTGAACCGTAGTTTCACTGGTTCCCTTAAGTGTGGAGATGTCAACAGAAACAGAGATGTTCAGGTTGATCCTCCAAGCATAAGGCTGGCTGAGTGTTTTCAACAACATTTAGGGGTTCTTGAGGATTAAATAGATCCGACTCAGAGACAGAGCTCCAGCACGATCAGAACCGGACCTCAGGGTTCCCTCCAATTAGAAGGTGAAGACCAACGCTCATTTGGGAATCCACCACAACGGTTTCCATGCTGTGTATCAGCTGCCAGCAGTGGCAGTCTGGGACAGCTGCCGGTATGTCCTAAAGCAGATTCATGGCCGTGTGCTTCTTCGGTTCCACTGGGAGCTACATGTAAGATGTTTCCTGGCCACAAAAGAAATCCCTGTCTGAAAGAGCTGTGGATATTATGCAAAAATGTGTCTGAATATGTTGTGCAACAGCAATAAGCTGCCTTTTAAAGGCTGAAAACCTGGAAAACACCAAGTCATTTTCAGAAGTCCCTTTGGCTCTGATTGGGACGCTTGGCAGCGACACCATGAGGAGAGAGCAGAATGTTGAGTTCAGCTGTTAATCCTGGACTGGACGTCCCTTTTTCATAGGACAGATTGAGTGAAATTGTTTGACTTTTATGCATTTGGGCAAAGAAACAAAAATAAACTGGGCAGACTTTAACTGGATATTAGCCGTCTGTTGGCCGGGATGTGCAAACACCAGCACAACCGTCTCTTCTTAAACCTCAGACTCTCTCAGCTAAGTATAGATATATTTTCCATGTATTTAGGTGGAGAACACAATCGTGCTTTACAACCTCGCCCTTGGGATTCTGCTTGTTTACCAGGTTATGACTGATGTTAGGATGAAAACACAACAGTGTCTCCAGGCATCGGGGACTTCCTCCTCTGGTGAGCTGGAGACAAACATCCAGCATCCTCAGTCCATCAGAGGGTCGTCTGTAGCTCACGCCTCATCAGGAACCCAAGGGGAGGCAGACAAAGGTTTTACATACAAGGTGATGTCATCAAGTCACGTCAGACTGGAACCAAACATAAAAATGTGTTAACATCGGTGGTTGTATCGACTGAGACATCATAGTGTGTCTAGTTCTGTAGCTTTTATTTAAACACTAATAAATTTCCAAACAGTTTTAATAATCCAGGATTAAATCTCTGCAACTTCAAACAACTCCCCAAACTCCACCAAACACTCCTGTTTTATTTTAGAGACTGGGAAAAATGAAAGCACCACAATAAAATAGAAGCCAGAAGGAAAAATGCATCTTTATTAATAATCATCACAACATTAACATTAGCACAGGTCTCCCTTTTTGTTCTGCTCTCCGAGTGCAACCGGCGGAGTTAAACTAGTGAAGTACAACCGGGCCGGTCACACAAAGCATCATTAATGCTCTGCATCGACGCAACATAAAAACATAAATAACAGAAGATTAAAAAATGTGCAAACAGCTCGATGATTTCTGGTCCTTTTTTTTAAAATCACCATTAGCATATTAAAGACGGCCTTCATTATGGCACCCTGGACTCTGCAGCATCCGTTATGAGAGAAACGAGTGAACGAGGAGCGGCACGGCGTCGTGTTTCTGTTACAGCCACAACACTGAGCGGACGTTAGCTTTAATGTACAGAATCAACACTTAATGAGCTTATTCACACGGGATTAGACTGATGCGATCCCTTTGTAATCCAACAGCTGTCACCAGGGGGGGTTGGCCACTAGGGGTTTTGTTTTCACTCATGGCTTCGGGTCACCTCAACAGCGAGTCATCATGCATGGCTGTGAGCGTGGTCGTTGGCCGAGACGCCACATCAGAGGCTGTGCAGCCTGTCGGGAGCGGCGGCGGCGGCGAGTACGCTGCAGCTCTCCAACCACGCTCCGTAAACACCACCGAGTCGGGATCCAAACCGAGAAACCGGGACAGATTTAACAGTAGACACACCAGAGGTCACGCTAAAAGAAGACGCAGCGCCGCCTCCGCAGAGCTGAGCTGGACCCTCAAGGTGACGCAGCAACAAGCACTCCAACCTAAACTCGTGTTTTTATGAACGTGGAGGCAGTGCACTATTGTCCGACCGCACAATCCAACCTCTAATTAGATGTTGGAGGAGGACATGAATCAACTGGGTGACATTTCTACATCGGTTTCACATTTTCTCATTAAAAAGTGGGATCTGAATCTGATTGGTGGACACATTTAGAAAACTACTGTACAGATGTGTCCCTTTACACAACAACACATGCTGGATCTGCACAACCTACTGAGCTGCTCCCACTTTCTTTATTTTGCACATTCACACTCAACAGCAGCGGCAGGATCCTGTTTCTGTTGGGAAGATTTTTTTATGCAGCTGAATCTGGTTCATTCAATCCAGCTTCTAGCAGGAGTTCCCCACTCGGTCCCCGGATCAAACACACGGTTTAACAGACACAAACTCTCCGTCTCAGTAAGCAACCCGTCCCTGCCAGAGAGCTTTTCACAACTACTGAAAGTGGATAGATGAAGTTCTCTGGCGCCAGAGGCTCACTCCGGCTGTTAGGTGGTCAGCTTGGAGTAGCTGGGTGGAGAGAAGCGTCTGCGCAGGTACTTCAGGATGTAGAGGGGTAGACAGCTGACCAGAGTGATGGCAGTCACCTTCCAAAGGAACGACACCGTGGTGATGAAGTACACGTCTGTCACAGAGGAAGAGCCAGAGGTCAGGGGGAGGCATTCTGCGATGACCTTTTAAAAAAGCAGTTTGTGGACTGAACACCACGGACGGAGACGGTGATGATTATGTTTTAGGTGCAGATATTCACTCACAGAAAGAGACGCGAAGAGCTATGGGGCTAACGGTGCGGATCTGCTCCTGGTGACACCTACTTTAATCTTGGGAGGGGAGAATAACCAAAATGACTAACGGATTTTAAGATCATGATTTTGACGAGGACTGCTGAATCCAACAGTCGGAACAACAAATAATAGCAAAATAACAACCAGTGTAATGTTGGTGCACAATGGTAGAGTCCAATTCAGCTGGGAAACGTGACAAAAAGGGTCCGTTTGACCACATGCTGGTCATGCCCGTCAGCGGTGGAGGGTGCAGGCTGAAAATGGAACTCCACACCACACGTAAAGATGGAAATAACGCTTTGGTCAGAGCATTGTTTAGGTCCTATTATGGAAAAAGTAAATACAGCTCAGTTTCTCTGGGCCAAGGTAAACAGATATGCTAGAGTCAGGCAACAACAGCAGATGTATAACACTTAGTTCAGCTCTGAGGGGTTATTCCTGTCCGACGCCTCCCTTCCACCAAACGCACCTTCACTAACGTAAACACAAGCAGCTCACAGGAAACCGACCGAACTGGTGGTATTTCCTCTTTGATACTACCACATGCCTGAAGCGAAGGCACACCAGGACATTCGGTCAATCCCCTCACCTTTACACTTCCTCATACCCAGCATACCACAGCGTATTGCACACTGGAGACCCACTGTAAAAGAGCAGCGCCCCTCCCCCACCTCCAAACGCTGACGTACTAGTTCAAGGCCGACCGAAGCACAACAACACGACTCAGTCTGGTGAAACGATTGTGGCTTTTGATTTCTCGTCTCAGTAAAACAGAAATTAAGAGCGTCTGTTTGCCCACCTATGAATTCATGCAGGAAGACAAGCGAGGCGATGTAGCACGCCAAGCTCAGGAGCTCGCCCACGATCATGAGCCAGTGCCATGTCTGCACGGTCAGAGCCACCATCAGCAGCTCAGTCAGGATCAGCGAGGTGAAGGAGATCGCAACGATGTGGACAAACTCCGACTCGAAGAGCAGCAGGGCTCCATACATGATGATGCTTCCTGTGGGGGGGACGGAGAGATAGCTTTAGTGATGTGAGGATACGAAGGGTAGCACAGAGCTGATGAAGAGGTTTGCTGCAGATGTCAAACGGGCCAGATGTTCCTGATGAGGGCAGGAGCTCCTTTTATCACCGTCAGCTCATGCAGGGATGAAGCAACTCACTGCTGACGCAGGAAACCACAACAGCACGATTGTGGTTTAAAGGCAGTTAAGAGCCATTCAGATACTTTGGTGATTTCTCTGTGATATTGTATAAAAGTGATGAACACTAGGGATGCTCCCATCACATTTTCTTCCTCCTGGTCAGAGTTGCTTGATTTTGCATATCAACCACGCATAAAAAGAAGAAAATTAAAACACATCCAAGTTGTCCTTTAGGTATTTTATTAATATGTATTTCTTTCTGTATTTATTTCTTTTCCTTTATCTGCCCAAAAAACACTTATTCAAGAAGTACTTCATTAAAAAAACATGTTAATATGAATACATTTAAAAGTAGCTTCATCACTCATATTCTTATTGCTGTCGTCCTCGTTATGTGACTTCATTGAGTGATGCCCATTTCCACAACGAGGCAAGCATGTGGCACCACGGCTAGCACAACACCCGTAGTAGGGATGTGTACCTTTCACATCTGAATCGATTCAGTACCAATTCCCGATACAGAGGAATTGATACCGGTACTTAACCATATCAATTTTCGATACTTTTGAGGGTTTAATAATGAATTAAATATGCATCCATCCATTTTCATCCACTTATCCGGAGTCGGGTCGCGGGAGCAGTAGCCTAAGGCAGTGGTTCCCAAACTTATTTAGCCTATGTCCCGACCATGTCGACGCACCCCCCAGCCTCACATCAGGCCATGGCTATATAATATATATATATATATATATATATATATATATATATATATATATATATATATATATATATATATATATATATAAAAATATATATATATATATATATATATATATACACACACACAGAGACAGGTTCAATGTGGCGACAACACCTTTACAAGGCGTTTTGAAGGCGGCAAATCAGATTTGTAGTGTTGAACGCAGCTCTACCATTTCCACCATGTTGAATGCCCAGTTTGTACACAAGTGTTTGTCACACTGCCTTTGCAGCAGAGAACGTCTCGACTAGCGGAAGCTAACCGTTAGCATTACCAACTCCACCACACAGCAGAACTCCTTCAGGCTCGTGTTATTTGTGGAGATAAAAAAAATCTAAGTTGCAAAGGAAACAGAGTCCGTGGTAGAGTCGTGTTGTTGTTATCCAATCAGAGGCTAGATGTCAAAACATGAGGAAATAAGACTCCAAACCCTGTCGTCTAAAGCTCAGCTCTGATGTGGCAATCTTCTACTTCCTGAAATTGGTGAACTGGAGCTTTGTTTCTCCAGAGTACGACTTACAAGGTCATCATTCCTACTAGAGACCACTGCAGATGTCAATTAAATTAGTGAACCCTGCATTTAACGTCCTATTCAAAGTACAGGTGAGTTCTCCAAGGCTTTAATGTCAGGTCATCCTCATCTTGCTCCTAACCTGTTTTTCATGCCGGTTCTTCTATCATTTCTCTATATTTCAGACTCTTTTTTTATTTTTTAATCTTCATTTTTATTTATATTTTCTTTGATTAATTTTTTTGTTATTTTTCATTATGCTTGTGAACTCACCTGGTAATTCCCATCTGGAAAGGACTAATCCAACAACAAAACCTTTTACCAAAACAACGTGAATAGCTCTGCATGTTTGGAGTGAAACTAACATAAATCTGATGGAACAGTGTAGCTGGACACAAAAATAGAATGCAAAGTGAAACCGACACACTAATCCTGGCTTTGCTAACCAAGCCCACGTGATTAAATAACAGTGGATCCTAATCTCACCTGTAAAGTGGGACGCTCATGTTGTGATAGAAATAGATAAAAGTTTCAGGGCGTAGCTTGTAAACAGCTTTTCTTTGCTAACGGTCCGTGTCGAGAAGTTCCCCTGAGTGCGTGGGCTGTTGCAGAGTGATGTGTCATAAAGTGGAGCTCGTATTTGTCTGTGATGAATTCACCTGGATCCTACCTGAACTCCACCCAACATCTGACCTGATGTCTTCGTACGTACAACCGGGTGAAGCAGAGGTCCCCTCCACTTCCAAACCGTCTCTTTACTCTTCAGCCCAGAACTACTGAGGATGCACGCGAGTCTCAGGGTTTTGGTAAATATACTTCTAAGGATTAACTTTATAACAGTTTTTCAACTGTGCTGAAAATGTGTAAACAGCTTTGTCACAAACTAAATTGTACATAAACAGTAGAGCAGCACCGGGTTTAAAGCGGTCTAAATCAAATGTAGAATTATTACAATTATGACAATATTTAAGGTCTCGTTCCTTAATTTTTTCTTAAATCTGCTGCGGTCTAATAAATAAAAGCATTGTTGTCAGTGTAAACTATGCTTAATTATTCTGAGGGTTTGTTGGAGTCTTGCTTATTAATATTCATGATATGCTAATGTGTGGCCTCTGATTGGCTAACAGCAGTGTGACTTTTCTGCTGCCACTGTTTGCTCTTCTTTCTACGTTGACATTTTACCTCCACAAATAACTCAAGCCTGAGCATGTCCACCATATTGTGGAGTTGCTAATGCTAATGGTTAGCATCTACTGGCTGAGACACGCCCTGCTCTCTCCTGGTCAACACAGCCTTCTGCCGTTGCAAGTCAAGGTGGGCAAGAACCTTTAGCCAGGACGTCGATCTGTGCAGCGTAGGACAGACCTCGACTGTCAGAGGTCATCAAAACAGTCCACAGCCAACTTCATCTGCCCGGAACGCCGTGTGCTTTTCCATACCAACAAGTGTCCCGTTTACCATCTCTAGCCTTGCCACCGGGAGGCACAGTCTAACAGAATCTGTGCTTCCAGTCACCGGGAGGCTCCAGACCGAAGACATCACTCTTAACTTTAATAAAATAATCTTATTTTGTCTCATACAATGATTTCCTCACTTTATAGGTTCACTACACTCATTTTCTGTTTTATACAGTGAATGTTTTATCTAAAGCGGCTTTAACAAGCCTTGATGACTTGACAGTAATGAATGAATCAAAAATAACAGTTTATCCTTAAAATGCCTCATTTCAGATCTTAGATACACCAAACTAATCTACTTGACGGTTTAATTATCAGTTACGTCACTTATTAATATGCCTTTTTTGAGTTTCTTGGAAAAAGAGGTGACATCTGAGGACTTTTTGCTAACGCCTCCTAGATTCTCTGCCATGACTGGTCCAACTCGGACCTTAAAGGAACACACTTCCCCTAGAGCTGAGTTCAAGCCAAGCTCCATTGAATCCATTCCACAGTTTTCATTGGTACACTCAATCCAAATGTGTTTCACACATTTGTCCTTTACCAGAATGTTTCATCTATCTTGTAATTTCCATTTTGTATTTTGTAATTTGAATTTCTTTTATTGTTAATTTATTCAATATAATTACTTACAACTGTACCATGTTCAGCGCTTTGGGCTTCCTGACAGGGTTGCGGAAGGCGCTTTATAAATAAAGCTTTGATTGATTGATTGATTGAAGGTGTTCCAGCCTTCACGCTAAATGAATCTCTTGTTGGGGGATGGGACCAGGTCTTTCAACGGAATATTTTTAGCCGTGAAGGACCATCCTTTTTCAGAACTAAACAACATTGTTTAACCTGCCAATCTCCATCAGACGCAGACAACTCTGCCAGCTTCCAGCAGTCACCAAGGGTGGTATCTCCTGACCAGCTCAAGCCGGGCTTGATCAAAGGCCTTTGCACCCCGAGAAGTCAAAATGACTCGCGTGCAGAGAAGACTTTGCGGCCAGCCAGATCACAGAGAACTTCCATCACACAGACACCGAAGCTCTGCACACTGGCGTTGGATGGGTTATTATTATTATTTTGATAGCTAATTAAAAATCAATAATTCAGCAAGATAATTTAATAAACCTAGACATCACGTTCTTTTCTAGACTCTTAATAACATCTAAGATCACGTTTCATTAAAGTTTGGTTACTGTCTCAGTTGTGATTACATTAAATAATCATTTATGATGATTTATCCTGTATGATCATTAATCGTAGAAATATAAGAATCATTGATTTTAATAAACTATATTTTTAACTCTGTGACAAATAATTATAAGTGCTGTTTCCCTGGCTTACCCAAAGTACATATTTACCAAGTTGATGGAATATTAAAGGTTCAATAATATTGATAATCCATATTTTTATGGAATATTACATTTTATTGAATGCCTTTATTTTTAGACACTTTATTAAAAGTAACCCCTTCCAAAACGTTACATCTGTGTGGCTTTTATTTGACCCGACTGCTTTCTCGTCTATGGCTAATGCAGTCAATGGCCTTGTATGAGGAACTCAGAGTGAAATATTACATGGTCTCTCAGAGAACGAGACCTTTTTAGGTCACATTTGGGCCATTCCCATCTGTACCGGGTCGGCCCGGGCCGGGTAGCCCCAGTCGGCCCCAGCCTGGCCCGGTTGATTCCACACATCCTTGCCTTAAGCCCATGTGGGCTGATTCTACCCACCAATCAGAGGCTTGCTCTAATGGAAGGTGTGAATTTGCTGTCAGCAGTGGGTGTGTTGGTCCTGGTCGGCCTGAAGCAGACCCCCTCGAGAAGAGGGCTGAGAATGAGCCTTGGTTGGCCCGCAAAAATACCAGGCCACCCAGATATGTAAACAACCTACGCTACCCGGCCCGGGCCGACCCGGTACAGATGGGAATGGCCCATTACATATCTAAGAAGCTGATCGTATTCTGCCGGGTTAAAACATGATGAGAATATTGTTAAACTGAACAGTAAATGTGCCCGTATAATGTCTGGTTATGACAGAAACTATCATTTAACAGGCAAACCCCCAATCAGCTGGTTCCAATCCCTTCACTGATGGTGCTAATATTTTCTGTGACCTTTAAATGAAATGAGGCGGTTTGAACTCGAGTCTACATCAGGTCATCACCACCAACCAAGAGTGGCTGATGCACACCGACAGACTTTTAGAACCAGCCTTTGTTGCTTCATGAGGGAATCAGACCTGATTTTATCTGAGAGGGCAGGATGTCGTCAAGTCATTCTCACCTGTGAGGATTCCTGTTTATGAGGACGTTTAGCAGCTGGCAGGACAACATTTCTATCCTTTAGAACAAGATGTAATGTAACCAACACCATCATTATTTTTATGTGAGATTGGGGGTGTTGCCAGGGTTAGGGTTGCCAGATGAAAATCAGAATTTTTGATAGATTTGAATCTCATTATGGGACTTAATGGGCCTTATTTCTGTCAGAGTTGAAGATCTCCTGCTTGTCGTTTTACTTGAAATTCTGCTGTAAAGAGCTTTTGGGGGTTAATCCTTACAGTTCATTGCAGTTTGGGACCAAAGCTCATTTCCACAGACAGATGAAAGCTTGTTTGGGTCGTTACAATCCCATTCAGGGATTAAATCTGTCTGTTGTTGATAAACACTTCAAAGTGAGCTGAGCTTAGTCGGCACTGATGGTAAAGAGCCATAAAGCAGCAGAGAGACTGAAGCCCCCTTCAGACAGGCCATGAAAAACGGAAATGTTCCGGACTCTGTCCGTAAGACCTTTGTGTCTGAATACAAACATCCGGATAACGTGTTCCGTAATTAAACCGGACGACGCCCCTAGTAACAGGTCCGGACTTGTTACGGACAGGGTGGCTGCTTCAGACTGGTGAGGTCGAGTTCCGGACAAGGGGGGGGGGGGGCGGGGGACGCTGTGCGCACCTAGATAGCTCTCTCCTGTAGCATGCGGTGAACCACGGCAGCTCGCCTCCTACGGTACCGTCTAGACGCGCGACGGACCGCTTCACACTGCTTCAGTGATTCCTTTAACCACTGAGCTTCATCATCCAGGTCTCTTATGCGTCTTCGTGTGCGCAGAATTATGCTTAATAACATAAGTCTGATCCCCCCCCCGGACGTCTGGAACTCCCCTGCTGTGTGAAGGCAGCCGAAAGAACAAGTTCCGGTACAAAAGTGGTGTGTCTGAAAACACAGTTCTGGTTAAAAACCGGACTGAATTGTCCGCACATATTCCAGAATGTCAGTCTGAAAAGGGTTCAACAGGAGGAGGAGGAACGCATTCTGACACAACACCGCTAACGCTCAGCCATTTCTGTTGTGCTCTGCGACCTGGTTTATCATCACAGTTGTTATCTGACAGCATCGTTGGTTTGTTAGACGTCTGCCTTACCTTGATAAATGCTGATTAGGACCCATATTAGAAATGTTTTGAATGACAGGGGTCGGCCCTATGGGAGCAAAAGAGGAAACACATCAAAGTCTTCGTATGAACTGGTGTTTATGTGGGAGCACTGTGTGTGTGTGTGTGTGTGTGTGTGTGTGTGTGTGTGTGTGTGTGTGTGTGTGTGAGACTGCTCATCAGGTACCTTCAGTAGATCTTTATACAGCTCTGGGTACAACATGGCAACTTCAGACTTTACATCTTTGTCCAACACCAGAGAGAAGACGGGGAACATGGTGTAGATAGTCGAGTAGCTGTGAGAGCCGGAAATGAGAAATCAGAGAAAAATGAAATGACACACGCACCAGAGTCAGCACAATTTCAGACTTTCCCCTCCTCGTATTGCCGCGGCGCTTTAGCAGAGGAAATGCCAGCAAAACAAGGCAGCCACATATTCTGTTGAAAAGTCATCACCCCCCAGTTTGTATCTCACCCAATAATCAGAAATCCCTGGTAGAGCGGGACCGAAGCAAAGTGGAAGACAGAGGAGAAGACTGCCTGCAGAAACAACAGAAAACACATCAACTGTTATTGGTTTCTAATCGGAATTACAGAAAACCTGCAACTCGTTTATTAAAAGGAAGGAAATGTCACACTTGTTCCAAGTTTATTCTGTAACGACAACAAGAGAACACCAATAAGCCCTGAAGCCCGACTCCACCATGGCGCTGCTGCTGCAGACGGTCGACTCTCTAATCTGAACACTAATAGGTGACATGTTTGGTCAGTGTCTGAACAAACCAGGCTCTCGGGCCCAGAGCTGCAGCTGTGGTTCATCTGAGGCAAACAGAGCTTCACCATGCAGTGAGTCACGGGCCATGCTTCCAGACTGGGGGGGCTGAGGTTGGACTAGGACATGGGAACAGAAAGGGAATACTGTGGTGGTGTTGGCTTCAGAGGGCACTGCAGCCTGCCTCTTCTGAGTCATCGTACACTCCACCTTTCCATGAGCAACCCCAAGGCGTCTCCTGGCCTCGCACCAACTGGTCCCTGTTGAGTTTTAGCGGATATGAGGAACCTTTACGACCCTGCTACAATCACATTCAGTCTGCAGCATCTACAGACCTCATCATTCAGGGATCTGACGAAATGGCTTTGGATTAAATGTTGGGAGAAAGGAAAGTGCTACTCGATTCCTCTTTATTAAACAATAGATCATCTCAAGTCAATAAGGAACACCTACAGTCCTTCTGTAGTAACCAAGAGCTGAGGACATTAAGGGGTCACAGGACCCACACACACTTCGCTGTCCAGGCTTTGGGGCGTAATTATAACATGTACACAGAAATGCATCTCATATTTGCCAAAATATCATTTTAATGCCAAAAAAACTAAGAGTTAGCAGAAAAATATTCACAGATTTTAAACGTCCAGTAATGCCAGAAAGCAAATGTAAAAAAAGGAATCTGAGTTATATTTTCAGCAAGAATCACTGGCAGCTTTACCTGCATGGTGCTAATGCACAGACTCCTGTGAATGACAAACTGGCTGAGGGCGGCAGACCGTTTGTAGCTGTTCCGGCCGTGGACCATGAGAAGACGACCCAGATGTTTGAACTGAGTGACGGAGAAGTCGGCAGCCAGAGAGGCTTGTTTTCCTTCCTGTCAAACGACAAGGACACAGGACAGTGAGGACAAGCCCTCGCAGCTCGCAGTGGACATCTAAGTAGATATATCAGCAAGTACAAGTTATACCGGTGAAAACAAAATCAATGAAACGAAAAGTCAACAAAGGTTTACAAAGTCAGAAACAGCACATTGTTTAGAATCGACTGAAAACTCCTAAAAAGGACTTGCAGCTGTAACTGCAGGGAAAGGTAGCTCTACAAAGTAGTGACACAAGGGGCCAAGGACAAAAGCACGACACGCTTTTCAGGGTTTTATTTGTTGTTTTTTGTTTGTTTCGTTTTGTTGTTTTAATGTTAAAACCTACTGTACTATTTTGTGTTTGTTTACCACAAAAATGTCAATAAAAACATTGAAGTTTGTGGCTGTGAGGTGCAATAAAGGTGTGGTTCCCTCGTTTAATCCGTTCATTTGCAGTGGTCTCTGGTAGGAAGGAATGCACGGACAAGTCTGCTGTAGCACAGACTGGCACAGCATGGCAGGACTTGGAGTCTTATTTCCTGATATTTGGACGTCTCGCCTCGGATTAAATAAAAGCAACGCGAACCACTTCACCACCATATTGGATGGGTCCCTCACTCTCCAAAACCTAATCAGAGTCAACGCCAGAGGTGTGACCAAGTCACAAGTAAGTCACAAGTCTTTCCAGTCAAGTTCAAGTCAAAGACAACCAAGTCCAAGTCGAGTCCAAAGTCAGTGATGTGGAAGTCCAAGTCCTTAACTCTGAATTTAAGTCATAATCAAATCATCTGTCCAATTTCTATTTAATGATAATAAATAAATTCCAGAATAAAAGCTTCTTAAAGCTTCATTTATTTGCTGAAACAAGCAGAAAGTGCAACTGAAACTGTTAGCCGTACAAGATCAAACCCAGAACAGAGAATGATTTATCATTTTCGTCCATGTCGGGCCACTTTTGTGCTAAAATATCAAATATTCAAGTCATCATCAAGACAACAGATGCAAGTCGATTCAAGTCGCAAGTCATTGGCGTTCAAGTCCAAGTCAAGTCATAAGTCTTTGTAGATTTCATCAAGTCAAGTCAGAAGTCATTAAAATAATGACTCAAGTCCGAGTCATGTGACTTGAGTCCACACCTCTGGTCAACGCTGAGTAAGCAACTATGCCTGTTTTTGTGCGGTCTACAGTTCCAACAACCGGCATACCACTGAAAACAGATTATGTGGGATTACTATTGACTTTTCTAGTCCAATGAATGCACTGGGGGGTGACTGGCGACCCACCCAAGATGGCAGCCCGCAGTTACAGCAGCACCAACAGAAACCCCCAGCCCATGTTGCCTTTACGTTTCTATGCTCTATGCTACTCATGTTTATTTTCTGTTGTGGAAAAGTGATGAAGACGACGTCCAGACAAACAGGAGTTTGTAAAACACCAACATACACAAACACTAGCCATCGTTAAACAAATTAAATTTGTGTTGCCTCAGCAACTAAAAATAACCATGTCTTCTTCTTAGTTTTCCTTTGGGTACGTAATGAGTCCTGTGACTCCAAAACTGCGAGTTTTTTAGAGAAGCCTGCCCACTTTAGTATTTTTAAGCACCTGCTAGTAGGGATGGGTACCGAATTCGGTACTTTTTAAGGTACAGACCGAATTCCATAGTACCGACCGAGCACCAATTCACGTCATTTCAAACGGTGCCTCGTTTCGTTACCCGTCCTTCATAACGAGAACTTGCCTAGACAGCTGCGCATGCGCAAGAGCGTTACGTCGTCGGTCGCTGCGAGCGAGTTGTAAACAGAGCAGCATGGCAGAAAGAACGCACGCTAAAGCTTGGGTCCACTTCACTAAATGTGATGGCTAACTGGGTGATGATGAAACCAGCGACAACGATCTAAGTGAGACATCCTCATCTTAATCTGCTCCGGTAGGTAAATACAATGTTTAAGATAATAACGTTAGCTTGATATGTTAGCTTCCATTGCCACCGTTATCAGCTAATGGTGCGTTCGCTTTCTCCTCGGAAATTCTAACTTCCCGGTAGGAAAAATCAAATGAAAAAAGACGGCAAAAGGAATGAAGATACGCAGTAAATTTAGTTCACAGTAAAGATGTTTGCTTCAGTTTAATTATCAGCTTATAAAACTACAAGGACGATGTTAAAATACAAACAGTTGAATGTTATTTATCGTGATATTTATCAAATATTGTTATATATTGAGAAAAAATATATATATATATAATTGTAAAAGAGAATTAAAAATTAAACACTCAAAAGTATCGAAAATTGGTACCGTTAAGTACCGGTATCGATTCCTAGGTACCGGGAATTAGTACTGAATCGATTCAAATGTCAAAGGTACCCATCCCTACCTGCTAGTTATCTGAAAAACTGGAAGGATAACCAAAGTAACTTTTTGCCCTTAGATGTTTTTCTTCCATTTTAAAGAACATTAAAGATGCACTTTAACACAATGAATTCAATCATTTTTGGGTATTTCTCAGCATTCTGGCTGTCGTGCCTTACACAGATGACTGACTTCTGCTGCTCCTGATGCCTTTATATTCTGAGCCTAGAAACTCACCACCAGTGTTGGGAACGTTACTTTAAAAAAGTAATTAGTTATAGTTACTGATTACTTTGTCAAAAAAGTAACTCAGTTACTAACTGAGTTACAAGATCATAAAAGTAACTAATTACCAACAAAAGTAACTGCTTAGTTACTTTTTTCATTAAAGAATGCAAGAATTACTGCAATAGTAAAATATAAATGACTAATGACTGAACATAATAAAATGTATGTCTAAATGTTTTATATAAACCTGAATAATTTAAACAAATAAGCACTTAACAGGAGGAACTACTAACAGGAGCATTACACTAATCTATTAAAAGGTCACTGTGTGATATTTAACAAGACCCCAATCAGCTAAAATTTAAAATTGCAAATAGAAACACCTGTAAAGGTTCCCGAGCCTTTAAATGGTCTCTCAGTCAAGTTAAATTACAGAAATAAATGTAATTGTGCACAGTATTCTAATTTTTCCAGCTTCACATAATTGTGTGTTTTAGCAGCATTTCTGTTGCTGGTAATCTAGTAATGGTTAAATAAATAAATAAAAGCCTTTAAAATGACACTAGAAGAGGCACAAGCCTGATGGAGGACTTACATTTACTAACTTGGGTCAGACCCAACCACAGAACAGCTGAAGCTGGGTGGTAAACACACACAGGTAGTTCCGATAACACCTGAGCTCCATGACGTGATGCATCAGTGTTACAGCGGGACTAAAGACATGATCAGGAACAGGTTACAGCTGGATGATCTAGGAAGGTAGAAGATCAGGACGTCTAGCGGTGAACAGGTGAGCGGACCTTCGGTACGTCCCGCTGTCATGCTAAGGGCACGGCTGCAGATCCACAGATTCGCTGCTGCACGCATTTTCTTATCAGTAACAGGAACGACGTTTTGATAAAAGAAGACGTAATTAATTAGTTTGCTCGTTACAGAAAGAAATATTTTTTATTAACGCGGTTATTTTAAACGGAGTTATTCCCGTTGGGTCTACAGAATGCAGCGACTGAGACGGTGAGGGTCTCCGCCCACCCGGTCAATCATCATCGTGTTTGTAGGCGCGTTACCGACACCTCTCTCTCCCTGGCTGCAGCTGAAGTGTGGCGGTCAGAAATCCTCACGCAGCTGCTCAACGTTCGACAAGCACATAGTAACGCACAACGTTCCGTCCCCAGTAACGGTAACGGCGTTGCAACGGCGGGAAAAGTAATTAATTAGATTATTTCGTTACCTATAAAAGAACGCCGTTATACTTAAACGGCGTTACTCCCAACACTGCTCACCACACGCTTAGACGGTGCGAGATAGTCACACGGTAGACATGTTTGTTTATTATTTACCATTGCGTGCCTTTAGTGTGATGGAGTCTACTCTCTGCAGGTTGTGAAGTATGAGCTACAGGCTTGTATGATCAGCACTAGAAGGTACTGACTGGAAAATGCTGACCTTATACTTTTCATCCGATAATTATCAGTGGCCAATCGATGGAAACACCACTGTTCGTGTAGCTGAAGAGGTCATTTATTAAAAAACAACAAATGAGACAGTGCGATGTATTAGACATGTCCCAGTTTTCAACCAGGTTCCCAGAAACAGTCGAGATTCTCCAGGACATCATTTGTCTGCGTTTCCTTACAACTGGACTTTAAATTTTATAATTTTGTTAATCATAGCTTGTGGCAGGAAGAACTGTTTCTATGCCATCACAATGCAAATCTGTGGAAAAGTTATGATAGTATGCAAGGTAGGGCTGCAGCTATCGAATATTCTTGTAATCGAGTACTCTATCAAATCTTTTTTTCGATTAATCGAGTACTCCAATAAATGACCCTTTTTTGTTTGTAAACCATTATATCAAATAGCATGTTATAATTATGAAAGACCTCTTAAAATGAGCAAGCAATTGCCAGTTATTCTTCAAGTTTTATTCAAAATTAGTTTGCAAAACTTCAGCACTTCAACTTTACTTCACAGTAAACAAATGCCTGTGCAAAAAATAAGTAAACAACCTGAGCCGATTTTCCCCTCATGTGAGAATCTGCTAGCCTGCAAGCCAGACAAAAACTAGGAGGATAACTGTTGAAGTAGCGCTGCGAGCGGCTGCGGCCCAAACCGAACCAGAACCGCTCACGGCGCAAACAGCTCGCCGGCTGTTTCCCTATTAACACACGTCCGTTTTAATTTCTACACTTTTTTTCTCACACAATAACAAGGATTGTCGAGAAAGCATGTTTGCTGTGGTTTTGTCAAATTATACTGATCACAAAACGTTTATTTACTTTCTTTCGTTTTCCTCCGCCACTCTCATAAATACCCGTGTCCTCCTGCAGCGATCCCGAGGGACAACAAATATCAATAACAACACAATAAAAAGTCTGACATATTGTGTAAAAACCGCTATTTTTAGCACATTTTCAGTCCGACGTGTTGCTACCAGACGTACGGTGTGAGCTGAAACTTCAGTGCTACGAACGAAAAAGTCGCACAGTGTCTGCAGAATATATAGAAAAACAGGCTAAAATGCATTATCTTGTAGAGGCTCCGAGTCCGCTTGCAGAAGAGACATTTACAGGTGCTGCAGCATGGAGGATGTGGTGTTGTGGTAGGCTACATCCATTTTACAGTATTTACACTGGACTACGTTTTCCACCTTACGACGTGAAAAATGGTCCCACAACTTTGACATTTTCTGTCTTTTTCGCACTCCACCGGGGTCCACGTTGTCCGCTGTAAGGTTATGAAGTTCATGGTTTTCAACTCCATACAGCTGGCCCCTGGGCACAATAACACCGTGTAGAAAAACCAAGGTCGAGTTGTTCCTCAGACTGTTTACATTCCAGGAGAAGAGTCCGAAGGAGAAGAAGAAGCTTTACTTAATCAAAGTACTTTATTTGTGATTAAAATTATTAAGCAAAACAGATGTTGATCAACAATAATCAAGTGAATGATCTGTGAAATAAATATGTCATGAATTATGTTTAATGAAACCAGGACTACGGTGCAGACATACTGATCCTCATCTCCATAGAAACGCATGACACATTGTTCCAACCAATCAGAGCTTTCGGCTGCCGCAGGAGAATCTGGTGTTGACTTCAAGTGTCCAATCTACTTTACTGAAACTTATCAACAATTCAGAGATATAAAACAAGGCAACGCCATTTTAAGGCAGTTCCATTGTGACTTCAGTTCTATTCACCATCATCCTAAAGACAAGCGCAGCCTGGCCGGATGCGTTTTCTTTAAACTAAGAACTGTGAAACGGGAGATTTTCGTCGTTTAACAACCAGACGACGTCCTTTCAAAATAAGAGCAACTGCTGACGCTGCTGAATCGTACCGGGCCGACCCTCCAGACGGGTTTTGAAACGTTGTGACCGCTGCACCGACAGCTCCATCGTACATCCGAGGTTTCCAGACCTGGCAATTCCTGATCTACTTGGGAGACCCCACTGGGTACGTACACGGCAAAATAGCGGCTCATGTCATCACTTTATAAGCCTCGTGATATCTAGTCATAACAAAGACGACCAGATTCGATTACGTCATCCTAGAGAATCTGAACCAGACACACACACTCACACACACGCACCAACACAACATCCGAATCCATTCTCATCCATCACAGAGTAGTCCTGGTAGATTGTTTAGAATTTATAATTCAGAAATTAAAGATTCTCAAACGATCCCATCTCTCTCTCTTTTATTGTCTCGAAGTCAATACAGAGTGTTTAATTAAACTCCCTGATGATAAAAACAGCCTATTCTTCTGTTTATAAAAGTGAACTACTAACAGTGTATTAAAATACAACTTTGGTTAGTTACATCACTTTGATTCCGTTACACCGCCATGGCTTAAGAGAAAGTTAAGTTGCGTTCGCTACTCGCGTGTGCATTCAGTCCAGTGTGTATGTGCGTCACTTATTTTGGTCCGGGTGAAACATGACCCCGGGCGATTGCAAAGCCATGAATTAATTAAACATGAATTAAACGAATCCTCGAGGCAGAGAATTTGACTCGAGGATTTTTTGTACTCGAATTATTCGAGGTACTCGAGGAATCGCTTCAGCCCTAATGCACGGGTAATCACCGTAGTATTTACATCCATGTATCATTTCGCCTGGGACTGCACAATACATTGAACATTGTCACTAAGTAGTAAAATCGCCTTTTCTGTTTATTGTTTTTCAATATTTCCTCTGCACCAAGTTATCCAGATTCTCATGTTTCTTCTGGTTTAAGCTTATTGTAAGGTCATATTTGCTAAGAGGGTTTGTTTACCCCGCAGCAGCTGCAGTGGGGCGAGTTGTTTTTCATTTTACCTGACCTGTGTACTTCTACTCCAGCATCAGTGGCATTTAGAAAGCTGCAGCACCTTCAATTATCACAGCTTGTTTCTTAAATCAGAATTCATAGCAAGGAACAGATCAGCTGACTGTCTTAAAACAACACGACTGTGGACAGGAGCCACTGATCTGTAGTCAGTCAGCAGGAAACTAGATTCTACAGCAACTTTTATTGTTCAGACAGCAGCACTTATGTAATGACACAGTCTGTCGTTAGTTATTAAAGCAGATGTATGCTAAGTGAAGTCGCTGCGGCTGTGCAAGCGATTGCTCAGACTTGTACGATGCTGAAAAGTAAAATACGCGTTGCCTCAATCTAATCAACTATTAATCAGAACATTATTTCAGACCATGCCTTTGTGCTTTTTTTTATCTAAAACTAAATGTGAACATCAATAAAACTCCAGAAAGTAACCAATTTGAGTTCAATAACAGCCCAAAACAGGGAAGCATCTAGACTTTTTATGAAAAGTATTAATGAAAAATAACGAGGACAGGGTGATGACAGATTTATTTCACTTGAGCACAAAAGCTTCCTGTCATCCTTGTTTCCTCTACTCAGACAATAGGTCCTCATAAAAGTGTGTGTGCGTGTGTGTGTGTGTGTGTGTGTGTGTGTATTTTCTGCTACAACACAGAATGTGGGAGATATCTTAACAGGAAATACAAAGGAGAAAATCTGTTAGTGTGTCACGTCAATGTGAGGCGATGAGATGGACAGAGCCTTACTTTTCCCTCCACTCCCACGCCACAGTCGGCTTCCTGGATCATGCTGACATCGTTTCCTCCGTCTCCTAAGAGAAAACAAAAGCCACAGAGGCGTCGCTATTCACACAAGTAACTCACTAACACAAACGTGTGAATGAGACGCTCCCTTCATTGGGTCTCAGATCAATAAAATTAAGACCAAACAGAAATACCACTTAAGAACTTGTGCAAAACAAGAAATTGGGAATGAAACCATACAGAAAATCGTTGAGGCCCTCTGAATCTGGGAGTTGTGTGAGGTGACTACTGGCGAGATAGTTATGGCAGTTTGTGGCTGAAACATTTATGTGTGCAGGCTGATGAAGATAAGGAAAAGACAACACTAAATGGAGAGCTCGTGTGTTGCTCACCGACGGCGCAGGTGAGCTTGCCTGTACGCTCCTGCAGCAGCCGGACTATCTGAGCCTTCTGAGTGGGGGTGCACCGGCAGCAAACCACAGCAGGACACTGACAAGCGAGCTCCATGAACTCGTACTCATAATATTTGAGGCAAACCTGCGAGAAAAGCCAGAGGAGAGGACAGGTGAGCAGCTCAGGCCCCCACACTTAACTGATTTTAGCCGTGGGTCACGAGTGCCTTCACCCAACTCGCAGTTCAACTCCAGCTGTGGTCTAGAAAGGGACTCGAACCACAGACACCGCATCCAGAGATGCTTACAGTGGATGTGATACTACCATGCATCACACGGACGACGTGTCACAGTTTCATAAAGATAGATAAGTGTGTGGGACGAGGGTTAGACACACACACACACACACACACTTACCTCAAGCGAGTCCCCAGATATCACTAGAGCGCAGTCATGTTTTCTCCTGAAGGCGTTGAGCTCCAGGTGGGCTTCCCCTCGTGTTGTCACCTATCACAGAGCCAACCGCAGTATAGATGAACACACACATATGCACACACACAACCACATGCACATGCGTGTGTGTGAAACCTATCAGGTATGACGATCGAGTGCTTGCCTGCAGCTTGTTTGGGTCCAGCTGCAGTGTAGAAAACTACACACCTTAAACTAGACTGGCTGCTCAGAGTAAAGGTACACGTGTCTTCACGTTTGCGTTTTAAATAATTCATTTGAACTCTTCTTTTTCCAGGGTGGAACAGTGAAGCTAGAAACTGTTTGGAGAATCCAAACAACTCAAAAGGCAAGCTATAGATCCATGTGGCATTCAAGTTCTGGATATTCCCAGTACATCCTGAACTTTACATGTGTGCTCCAACCTTCTTCGTTTTCCTCTCATCCAACATGGACGTTTGCAGTAGCTTGGGACAAGCTAGTTTAACTAAGGGTGGGTGTGTGTGTGTGTGTGTGTGTGTGTGTGTGTGTGTGTGTGTGTAAGCCTGTCGTGTGCTTTTCTCAGAACAAACCATCTCTATGGCCATAACAACATTACTCATTTACATAGGAAAGTAGGGATGCACCGATGGATCGGCATTTGATCGTAATCGGCCGATAGCGCCCCTATCGGTTTTGATCGGAATTTTCAAAATGGATCAAAGCAGACCGATCAGCCGTAGGGTTGTCACGGTAACCGGTGTAGCGGTAAACCCCAGTAAAAAAAAAAGTTGACAATAATAATAACCGTCTTGTTTTTTAAAAAACTATATTATCTTGGTGGGATTACCGTGGCTGCGGTGTAGGCGCGGTGACCCTTACCAGCCACCGTATCATCGGCTGAAGTTGCCGGCGGCACATGCGCACTTTGTTGTTTACAACCAAAACTTTCTTGAAGCTAAAGCTGAAATAATGGCCAAAGGAGGAGACGACAGCGCTCAGGAGGACATTTATTATCCTTCAAAGAAGACAAAGTGGGAAGTACGGGCATCTTTTGGATATTGGAAGAATGCCGAGGGACAGTTGATAGAACCACTTATTAAAATGTTGTAGAAAATTTCTGGCCAATCCACGTGATCGGCAGCAAAAAACCTGATCGGTGCATCCCTATAGGAAAGCAGACTTTTTGGTGTGGTGCGTTATGGGATGTCTTGTATAATTGTGCAACGATGCAGGTAGTTTACATCACAGCCAATCCTCCATGTATTTTAAAATGCTTCCCAAATTTGAGACACCAATAGAAATCCTGCAAGAGACGGCTTTAATTTGTCTTTCTAACAATCTGTAATGTGTAACAATAGCTAGAAATAGCCAGGTCCTTCCTAATTAAACTTTACTAGAAGATCATAAAAAGACATAAGTGTTCCCTTTATAGAAATCATTTATTGACATTAAGCCTTTTTCCTGCCATTGTGGTGAATAAACTGTTTTATTTTGGGGGTTATGCCTCAGGTATGCATCATTTTGCAAATATTGTGAAGTTACATGTAAATCAAGCAGAATGTGGGACTTCTTTTCATACAATTTCCTAAATAAATACTTTTAATTCCATTAAAAAAACAGCTATCATTTAAATGTAATGCCGGTCTCAGGGACGCTCTGCTCTGCTAGCCTGGCCTCCTCTGTTCTACACAGAACTATAACTTCCCATAAGGAAGCATGGGGTAAAAAGTCTTGACATGCTGTGGTTGTCTTGTGGCTGACTTTAATCTTTTGAGTCTTAAATAATTTATTTGCTTTAAAAATGCAGTGCACTACCAACACAGTGTTCCCGGAGTTCCTTAACCCTCCCGCTGTCTTCATGGATGCAAACCCACGAGGAAAGTTGACCATTGGGCAGGGTTGGTTGGTGGTTTATCCCTTGGGTCCACGTGGCAGGGGTGAGGAGTGAGCACCACCTCACCCCTGCCATGTGGACCTCGAGGGATAAACCACCAACAACCCCGGCCAATGGTCAACTTTCCTCGTGGGGTCACCCGTAAAGACAGCGGGAGGGTTAAGGCTCTGAATGTTGTAGGGCTGTGTTGGTTGACGTGGCTCTACAGTATTGCATGGACATCGGGGGCAGTTCCACTGGATTGGCAGACCGGGGTGGTGGTCCTCCTATTTAAAAGGGGGACCGCAGAGTGTGTCACAACTACAGCAGGATCACACTCCTGAGCCTCCCTGGTAAGGACTATTCGGGGGTTTTGGAGAGGAGGGTCCGTCGGATTGTCCAATTCAGGAGGAGAAATGTGGTTTTCGTCCTGGCCATGGAACACTGGATCAGCTCTGTACCCTTGGAGGGGTTCTGGAGGGTGTGTGGGAGTTTGACCAACCAGTCTACATGCGTTTTGTGGATTTGGAGAAGGTGTTCGACCGCATCCCTCGGGGGGCCCTGTGGGGGGTACTCCGGGAGTATGGGGTACCAGGCCCTCTGATACGGGCTGTTAGGTCCTTGTATGACCGGTGTCAGAGCTTGGTCCGCATTGCCGGCAGTAAGTCGGGCTCATTCCCAGTGAGAGTTGGACTCCGCCAAGGCTGCCCTTTGTCACCGATTCTGTTCATAACCTTTAAGGACAGGATTTCTAGGTGCAGCCAAGGTGTGGAGGGCATCCGTTTTGGTGGCCTGAGGATCAGGTCTCTGCTTTTTGCAGATGAAGTGGTCCTGTTGGCTATATCAGACAATGATCTCCAGCTTTTGCTGGAGCGGTTCGCAGCCGAGTGTGAAGCAGCTGGGATGAGAATCAGCTCCTCTAAATCTGAGACCATGGTCTTGAGTCAGAAAAGGGTAGAATGCCTTCTCCGGGTCAGGGATGAGGTCCTGCCTCAAGTGGAGGATCTTGGAGTCTTGTTCACAAATGAGGCAAAGATGGAGCGTGAGATCAATACGTGGATTGGTGTTGCGTCTGCAGTGATGCAGGCATTGTACCAATCTGTCGTGGTGGAGGGAGAGCTTGATTTACTGGTCGGATCTACGTTCCTTCCTTCATAGTCATGAGCTTTGAAGAACAAAGATCAAGATCAAGATCAAGATCAAGAAGAACAAGATCTTGGATACCAGTGGCAGAAATTAGATTTCTCCACAGGGTGGCCCAGGTCTCCCTTGGAGATAGGGTGAGAAGCTCGGCCATCTTGGAGGGGCTCGGAGTAGACCCGCTGCTCCTACACATCGAGAGGAGCCAGTCGAGGTGGCTCAGGCATCTGGTCAGGATACCTCCTGGACGCCTCCCTGGTGAGGTTTTCCGGGCAAGTTCAACTGGGAGGAGACCTAAAGGTAGACCCAGGACACGGTGGAGGGACTATGTCTCTCACCTGGTCAGGGAGCGCCTTGGGATTCTCCCAGACGAGCTGGCCCAAGTGGCTGGGGAGAGGGAAGTCTGGACCTCTCAGCTTGGGCTACTGCCCTATGACCCAACTCCGGACGGACGGACGGACGGATGGACGGACGGACGGATGGATGGACGGACGGATGGATGCATTAAAAATTTCCAAATCAATTGAATACGTACCATGTTCTGTTCATACCTGATTAAAGTCAATTTTTGTTAAATGATCAAACAGCAAAATCCCGCTGATAATGTTTTGACTCATTTCATTTTGTAAACATGTTTTCTGGTTGTTGTTTTTTTTATCCAGGTGGTTCCAGACACCCTCTGACTATGAAGAAGAGGATCAATGAATGCCCTGCTGCTGTCATGTTTAAACACAAGCTGCCAGTTTAGCTGTTCCACCAATAATCTACTTCTAAACGGTTTACCTTCCAATTTCATAAGAAAAAAAATATTTTTGCCAATCCATGTTTTTCTTAACAGAATCAATATATCTGCACCGAATTAAATGTTCACTATTTCAACCCTGTACAAGTACAGCAGTTAGCTTTGGATGGCGCTGAGTGTTTTGCTAAAGCTAGCTGCTTAGCTGAAACAAAAATGGAGAACCGTAGTGCTCATTGATTGGTTGATTCTGTTCCCCGCCCTCGCCCCTCCTCCCCCCACTCCACTCTCGACTCTGATTGGTTCAGCTAGGTTATCTTACAAACAACCAGCAAAAACCGTTTCAAAATTCACCCGCGTGAGAGCTGAGCATGAGCAGACACAGATCTCTAGACTTGTGTTCACAGACATGTAGTTACACTAGGGCCTGCACGACTTTATTTTATTTTTCATACATGTGACTTTTTCCTATAAGTACATACTTTGTTTACATGTTTACATGTGTTGATGTGCAGCTTTTCACGTTCTACTCCACACGCACAACTCAAAATGTTCAAGCTCACAATGATCTCACTGAAAAAGGAAATGCTGGGAGGAAGAAAACATTTGGCTGCATAAATTCCTAAAACAGATTTAAATATGAACTTAAAAATTCTCCAAATATGCCGCACTGGCAAGGCAAGGCATTAATCCGTCACCAAGAGCCGTGGCCTAGTATGAATATCCTTCGACCGCTGACTACTCATACGTCAGTCCAGGTCAGGCCGCTGGCGACCATGAGGAAACTAATCCAGATGTGCGCTGCAGGCCCAGTCAGCACTCTCCCATCCAGAGGGACAGAGGGTTTTAAGCTGTGCCAACCATTGTTATTCTCTTCCAGCGACCACAGTCGTACGCAAGTTGTAACCTTCCCATGTGGTTGGTGCTCCTTCTGCCCTGGCACGGCTCCAGAAGGGGAATATCAAAGCAGCCCCAGAACCCAAAACCTGCTGAACAAATTAGGAAGTGACTTCTTAGCATGTTCCCTGTGGGAGTGGTCCAGTTGGTTTCTCCTTTCTGTTCGAGCGAAGGGATGTTTGTTCTCCCGACAGTGGCTTGGATGCTTTTACTGGTGGAGGTGAATTTTTCAGCTGTGTAGGGCGGTGTGACCACCATCTAAAGGCTCTCCGGCAGAGTGGGTGCCCACGAGCCGACAGTGTTAGCACAGGGCTAAGACAGTACATGCAGGGAAACTGAAAGCCCAAATTTTATCTTACAAACGATAATTATTGAAATGTTACGGATCACAAAAGGAGGAACTTTAAAGTGAGGAATTGTTGCACCCAGATCGTTTATGAGGAGCAGATAACAGAGAATGGAGAAATAGTGCACCATATAGTGAATAAGTGAACAGAGATGGCTGCGTGAGGCCAGCGTTCTGTCAAAAAGCCTTCATCTCTGCTGCTTTAGTTGTGTGAATCAAGCCACTAATGCTCCAACACACACATCAGTCAGTCCCAGATTATTGTAATGCAGTGGTTCCCAACCTTTTTCCCAAGGGACCCCGTTTTTTACCAGTAAAATTTTTGACGACCCCCTCCCATTCTCTCTTCCAGTACAAACAGTATTAAGAAATGATAAAATTGTTCAAGCACATTTTAATATGCTTTGATTCAATAGATAACAGTAGTAGGCTCCAGTACAGAACAAAGTCATTAACAAAACCAAACAGAGCATAATGTGCTTGACAGTTTGTATTACGTTTCTGAACACATTGTTTTTTGTAAACACTGATAAATCAATCATTCCTTTCAATAAACGTTTGACACATAAAAAATACACTGAGCAAAATGTACTTAAATGTGTATATTACTGTTTATACTAGATTATTTACTGTAAAGGCTGTGATTAATCAACCAGTCCTATCTTTAATGAACTTTTGACACTTGAAAATAAAACAGTGAGCTGAGCAAAATGTTCTTAAAAGTGTGTTACTCTTTCTGTACTAATTATTTCCTGTCTTAATATCAGTAAACTTTTCACTCATGAAAAAAAATGTGAGCAAAATGTAGGCTATAAACAAGTAATAAATGAAGTTTTAACCCCTTAAAGTGGAGAGGTCCTGGCGACCCACTGAGAGGCTTTGGCGCCCCCTTGTGGGGGTCGGGACCCCCAGGTTAGGAACCACTGTTGTAATGGTTGGTCTCCATGGAACCTTTAGTTTTCTCTTAATTTATACTTCTCCATCTGCGTCGATACGGAGACACGCAACGCCATTATCTGTCCTTTTGAGGGCTCTCCGACAGGTTCGCATGGACGGGTGGGGTCGAGCTCTTTTTTCTAAGTATCCGTCCGACAAAACGGAGAACGCAAGCTTGTGATTGGTCAGGACGTCGCCATTGCACCCTCAAAAACAAACAGAGCCGAGGATATCTAGCGGCAGACACGGAGCAGCTTGAAGAATATGTCGCGGAAAAACTCTTAAAATATGAAAGTTTTATTCCCCCGCGACTGGAGGAGTGAAAAGATACTCAGCAAGCGTTTTATTTGTGGACGGCAATGACTGGAAACGTGGCTTTAGAGGTGGCGAGCGCATGAAGAGGTGGAGGAGAATGAAGGACAAATTTGTCCGTGTTAAAAAGTTTCTTAAATACAAAAAAAACACAATATGAACACAGTAGTAAATTCATTATCTTGGACCGATACATGACAGGACACCACAGAACAGCGCTACGCCCTGCCTGAGCTTGGCCTGGACGTACCGCGCCTGCACATTACCCCTGTCCTGGCACATCTTCACTGGCTCCCTGTCATTTTCAGAGTGCAGTTTAAGTTACTGACTTTTGTTTTTAAAGCACTCAATGACCTGGCACCTCCCTACCTCTCTGCCCTTCTCACTCCATATGTACCCACCCGCTCGTTGAGGTCGGCTGACCTTTTGCTGCTGTACACGCCGCGGATGAGACTCAAATCGCGGGGGGACTGAGCATTTGTCCACGCTGCCCCAAAGCTGTGGAACTCATTGCCCATTGGAGTTCGGCAGGCTCCATCTCTGGCGGGTTTTAAATCTCGTTTAAAGACCCACTTTTACACTTTAGCTTTTAGACAGTGACTCGTTTTAGTGTTTTATTGTGTCATTGTTTTAATGTGTTCTTATTATTCATGTTTTCTCTGCTTTTAATTGAGATTTTTATCCTTTGTTTTAGCTCCTTGTAATGGTTGTGTTTTGTTTTAGCCTGTGCAGCACTTTGGGCAGCTCCCATGCTGCATTTTAAACGTGCTATATAAATAAACTATGCTATGCTATGCTATGCCCTCTGTTGTCCCGGGGGGGGAAATTGCTTTGCAACACTCCCCAGGAGACCAAGTATGAAGGCAAAATGTCTCCGTCCGTGCGTGCGTCTCTTCCTCGTGGAGCTGACGGAGAAGCATGAATTAGGCTTAAGAGAGCGTTTGAAGTGTTTATCAGTTTGGACATTTAGCAAATGCAACTGTTTTATTCTGTCAGTCAAAGAGAGAGTTTCAGCATCAAACCTTCTTCTTTTGATCGAACGAGAGGTCGCTCTGCTCTGATGCCGCCTCAGATTTTTTCATTTGCACTGCTGAGAAATTCAGTAGCATTTGTCACCAAAATGGTTAAATGTTAATGCTGCTGAGAATAAGATGTAATTCTTTTAATGTCATTTAAGGCCTTAATTCAGACTAAATCAATGTAATGCTTTTAATGATCCACTGAAACCCGTGTTAAGGGCTGGGCGATATGGCCTAAAATCAGTATCAAGATATATTGAGGATTTCACCTCGATAACGATAAATGGACAACAACTACAGGTACGCACAGAAATACAAGTTGTCCACTAGATGGGGCTGTGACTCAGGTGTATTACGCCAAGTCACGTTTTCACGCAACTCAAGGCGGTACGGCTCCTAAAAGAGACGTGAATGTCGCCAACCTGCACACGTATTTTCATTTTTTTTATTATGGAATTAACTGGCATGAGGAAAACAACATCAGTAAGAGCCAGAAACTTCTAGAATGATAAAACTTGGATTTATTGCCCAGCCGTAGCTGTGTTATGGCCATGCTTTGTGACTTTCTGACAGCTTATTTAAAAACTTCTGAGATTCATGAGCAAATGTGCTAAAGACAAACAAACGGTTACTTCACGTGAAACGCAACAGCCACTTACTGGTCTGAAGATATGGAGGTCCTGGCTACGGGTGATTAGATGGGCATTCTTAGCAGTGCAGGTTGCAGTTTCAAGCTTGTCTCCAGTCAGCATCCACACCTGTTTAAAACAAAACAAAAAGATGAAGCTGAAAGCATCAACACATCTCAGTTTTATAAGTCCCCGAAGAGCAAATCTTATGTTTAAGAAGCACAAAAGACGTCATCTAGGAATGTACAGATGAACAGGCACAAGTATCTGCTGCATGGTGGCGCAGTGGTTAGCACGGTTGCCTCGCAGCACGAAGGTTGCAGGTTCGAAACTCGGCTGCGGCCTTTCTGCGTGGAGTTGCGTGTTCTCCTCATGCATGCGTGGGTTTCCTCCGGGTACTCCGGTTTCCCCCACAGACCACAACATGCCCTATAGGTTATAAATCATAAGTCGCTTTGGATAAAAGCGTCTGCCAAATAAATAAACATAAACATAAACATCTGTGACCTAATCTTATCAAACATGATCATAAATAACAGACACCGCTTGCAGCCTAATGAGGTTTCCAATCCAAGAAGTAAATGAAACGGTTAAAACGGACGAAGGGTTTATATAAAAATCACAATAAGAGTCTTTTGCAGCACAAAAAAGCAAAGTCACACCATCACCTGTTTAGGAATAACAACCAAGTGTTTGACGGTGCCTGAGCTCCAGCCAGGTGCATAAATATACTAACCGTTTTTGTTTTCTACACTTTGAAGTTCAGTGAGAGAGTGAATCTGTGTTTTATTCACTTGTCTGGTGTCATGTTGACCTTTTGACTTCAATACAAACAGCAGAAGATCTAAAGAAAACGTGTAGACTTTCTCGCCTGGGCCACATGTGGAGAAATGACTGATTTTGGTGGTGAACAGTAAAAATCAAAAATCTGACTATACTTTTCCCCAAAATGAAACCCTAACATCACAGAAAGCATGCTCATTCGTTGCAGATGGTGCAGGATCAAAAACTGTGGTTTGAATGGAAGTCAATGGGGCGTTTTTGCCCTCTAAGGTCACAAGAGGGTAGTGTTTGTTTTCAAGTGTTCCCTCAGTCTGTTTTCAAAATTCCACATTGAATTTTAAAATTTGTCAAGAGAGAGGTTTTGCAACAAAATTGAGTACCATATGCACAAATGCTGCTAAAATGGAGTCCAAACAAACACGGACAAACTGCCCAAATGGACAAAAACATCCCTAGTGACGCCTGAGGGTTCAGCAGCTCTCCACACAACTATTATGCACTTTGTACATTAGTCGAGTCCAGCGTTGTCTCTTATTTGTCATGCTGCAGTTGATACAGGGTATCTGCAGGTTTAAGGGAGCCAAATTTAAGACTTTTTAAGACCTTTTTAAGGCCACTTTGACCAAATTTAAGCTATTTTTTAAATTAAATTTAAGCTATAATTTCCAGCTATTGCCTGGAACCGGTGCTAACCACGTCGTGAACGTGGGATTAGCCATCCAGTTACCATTAAACTTGCACTTCCCCATGGCGCAAGCTCCCACTAGCTTAACCAGCTAATGTGCTCATCTAAAAACAGCCCCCTTTCACAACCAACTGAATGTGTACGGTTCCGCTTACGCCGACATCGTACACAAAAAATGCTGAACGCTAACTAGAAATTCACGAAAATTTTTATAGAAATAAAATAATCTTGCTTATTGGGTCTTTGGTAATTTAAGACCTTTGGAAACTGGATTTAAGGATTATTTGTCATTTTTAAGGATTTTCAAGGCCTTAAATTTGGAAAAGCAAATTTAAGACTTTTTAAGGACCCGCGGATACCCTGTGATACTTGAATAATTGTTTAGAATAACTGATGGATTAATTTATGACGTGATGATCTGATGGAAAACTTCTATAATAAATAAAGCTTCATCGTATCGGTGGAACCAGAGCAGATCTGTCTCTTTGCTCGTGTGTCTGCTAGAGGACAAATGAACAAATCACACATTCAAACACATCCTGTATTACCAATAAAACCACCTCCGCATTATAATTACTACTCTAAAAAAATACCAAACATCAGAAGTTAGAAATTTTCTTCAATTAGCACAAATGACCCAGAAAATCACCGGTAACAACAGAACATCAGAGATTTAGGAGGACGAACACAGAACTTCAAATATCAATGCCAGATGAGTCAACTCTGTTTTTTCTGATTTCATTGAAAGCTTTTATTCATCTTACTTGGCATTGCAGATGTTTGCATAAGACCTCCACCATTATCATTTACAGTTATACTGTCAGGTTTGACTCCACCTACATGTAATAAAGTCTGAAAAATGTTCTTGTGGAGAATTTATTTCACAAATTTGTGAAGCAAAACTTCAGATATTTAGTCCTGTTCCCTTTTTGTTTATTACTACAGTGAGCCAACGTGGCACACACACACACACACACACACACACACACACACACCTTGATTCCTGCATTGCGAAGGATCTCCAGAGTGGGTCTGACATCCATCTGGAGCTGGTCCTCCACCCCTGTGAGACACAACAACTCCATCTCCATCTCTAGACTCTCGATCACTGTGGCCACCTTCAGAGAGCGGTCGTGGACACTGAGCTTGGCCTGGACGTACCGCGCCTGCACAGCGGCACAGAGACCACAGTTGTGAGACGTGAAATCAGAAGCCCTGCAGCTTCAAGGGACAGAAACAGCCAGGAAATCGTCACGTTTTAATCTGCGGAGCACACCTATAGACTTACAGACTTATAGTTTGAGTGTGTACCATCTTAAATGTGCTACAGTCTCCTAATAACACAACAAAGCTGTTTTCACCGAGTTGTGTGAGCTGCTGCGTTACAAAGCCATGCACACAAAGCAGACATAATTGATCGGTTGACGCCCATCTCCAGTGCTCCAGCTCCAGGCCAAACAGCAAGTGAGATAAAGCAAAAACAATCTGTGTGTGACTCATACAGGAACACAAACCCAGTGTGTGACTCAGATGGTGACTCACTACTGCCCACCAGCTCTGCTCACTCAATCACACACTTCACTAATGCGCCCGAGGCTAAAAACTGCAGGAGGAGATGGACCCCTGCCCTGCTCAAACAATAAGTGGAGCCTTGTGTTGGGTGGGGTGGGGTGACTGGAGGGGGGGAGGGGTCAGAGGTTAGTCTGATTACCAAAGATCACACTTTGACATTTGGAGAGTTTTTTTACTTGTCTACAAAAAAAATCCTACTGTAATTCTGCTGTTTGTCAGTCAGCAAACATCAAATGTTTACCTCAAAATCCTGATACTGTTCTTCTGTCAGAGACTTCTTAGTGACCACCAGGACCCTCAGGCCTTCCCTTGCCATGTTTCCACACTATGAAGCACACGAGAGCCTTCAGATGCAGTAAAGTCTGAGAGGGGATCCTTACAAACATGGCTTTCTGCTCGGCGCTACCTCCTCCTCCAGCCAGTCGTTGTACTGGACGATGCCCGCCATCACCACATCAGCACCCTTCATGTAGAAAGTGATTTCTCCCGTCGATTCATCCTAAAAAAAACAAAATGTGGGATTTTTGTCCAATCAGGTATTTTATGGTTCAAAGTAGGACTGAATGATTTTAGGAAAAGATTGAACGACAATTTTTCTAGCAGAAATTGCGATTTCGGTTCAATTCACGGTTTTCTACAAACAAAGGTCCAACACTAGCCTGCCAAGCCATCCTGTAGATGAAGTGAAAAGATGTTCTAGATTCTAATCTAGAACAACAAATCATTCACATTACTATTTACTATTTAATCATACAATAAAAACAGTTAAAGCTATTAATATTTTCTCCCATTATTAGCCTTTTTTATGTGTTTGTGAAGCAGCTTGTGATTTTTATCTAGAGAGGAGCTTTATAAAAACAGGTTCTACTGCAAAAATGCACGGAGGAAATCTGCAGGTAGAAACCACTTTTTACTGTATTAAATAAAAAATGCTGTTTTCCCTGCATTACGGCGGCAGGACGAGGCCGTCTGATAGTTAATCCTCACCGTGAGAGAGACGCACGCATTCCGACACCGTAGCTCGTCTGAACTAACGCGCGCCGCCAGAAACATTCAAACCATTTTTAAAAGAGAAGTTGAGCTTTTAAGTCAACTAAAGTGTGCGACTCTGCACTCGCGCTGATGAAACATGAACCGAGCTTTAGAAGTCAGCCTGAACCTGCTCCGATGTGGGAGGAGTCTCTGTCTCCCCTACCCAACTACGTTCTCTCTCTCTCTGTCCCGGGCTCACCTACGGTACCATTATTATCGGCTCTAGCAGCTGTGTGTGGAAACATAAGACGGAAAATAACCTGAACATGCAGCTCTGTCGGCTGTGGAGTTGGGCTCAGCTCTGGACGGTACATCCCACCCCCCTCCCCCGCGCTGGCTTTTGCCGCCGCCATAACACAGGGGGAAAACTCCGGATGCAAAAAATAAGTTACACAACTGATCCTGGATCAGTCAAAACAGCTAAAACCGCAGCTTTGACGGTCACACGATCGTGCTGCTTGAAATCGCGATGCCGGTCCAAAAACGATAGATCGTTCAGCCCTAGTTCAAAGGTCATGCACACAACAATGCATTTAGATTTGTCAGATTTCAGATCTTTGTGATTTCACCTTTTCTGTTTGCTTTTGTACCAGGAATTAAAATCTGCACTCGTTTATATTTTAAAAATGAAATGTGGTCACGCACTAAACACAACGGCTATCATTTCCTGTGTGTGTGTTTTTAACAGACGTCCAAAGTAATTACGGCTTCCTGGGGATTCTCATTTCAAAAACATAAAATTGATTCATTTGAACAAAAACATATCAAAGCAAAAATGATCTAAACAAACTGCAATCCAAAACAAACATCAACAATAATGAAAACAACGCTTTTCACTCACTCTCACAATGATCCCCATCCTCTTGCTTTCATAGGTGAAGGGAAAGATCTGCAGAATGGTGAAGTTCAGTATTTGTCCAGTAGGTGTCCGCAGCTGCATGGAGGACTGATCTCGTCCCACCAGAGTCAGGCCAACGCTCTCAGTCCACTGCACCAGCGACACCTACCAGCAGACAGAGAAGAGGCTTTACAAGATCACTGGAATGAACACGGAGCGGCCGCCACACGCACCCAACCAACTTTATCATCACCGCGGGGCACGCAGGAGGGAGAAATGATCGCTAAGGATCGTTTTTAAAAGTTAAATAAAATAATCCTCATGGTAAAAGCATTTGAGGTTTAATTTCTTCAGTTTTAAGTCCACTTTGGAGAGAGTGTGTGTCGTCAGGGAACGCAGTGACAATACAGCTTTAATCAATAACTCAAGAATTTTCAGCACTTAAAGTTATCGATCGATAAACCAGGAGGATGTCCACTTCTGAAATAAAAACATCGTTTTTGCTCTATTCCTTCTGAAGGACATGACAACATCCATTAATAGAATAAACTTGTGAGGGGAGATAAAAATGGGACGTGACGTTTCCTAATAACCTCCAGACAGGAAGCCAGGCCGCACCGCCCATTCATCACCAGTCTACTGACAGCAACCAAACAGCCACAAATGTGAGGAGACTGGTTTCCACTAATAACTACGAATCTCACATTTGACCTCGTTTACAAACATCTAGTGTGATGAAGCCTGCATGGCCAGGAGTCCTTTCACGTCAGCAAAGCGCTGACTAGCACAGAGCCAGTGCCCCAGGATGGGGCGTATGAAGACTGAGCTTAGTCACCGTCTAGAAATACTCACTGTGGGAGGCCGGGATCTGACGTCCAACACATCATCATCATCATCTCTGCATAGCAGAAGCATCGCTGAGCGTCTAACAGGACTGGGTAAGGCTTCAACTCCAGGCCTGACTCAACCGTCACATGGCTGGCAGGTTTTTTTTAGTCAAAAGAAACTTTAAATGATCCAAAAATCTGATGTTTTCCGTGAAAATTAATTCTACTTTAGTTTATTTCGTGTTCAGGACTATTCTATAAATAACATGAGGTAACCTATTGAATAACAAGCTAGTATCAGCTTTATTAAAGAAGTAAATACATTTAATGCAACAGAAGTTGCAGCGATGGTTCTGATGAGTCAGGAACTCTGACTCAGTGGTTCCCAACCTTTTTCCCAAGGGACCCCGTTTTTTAACCGTTCTCTCTTCCAGTACAAACAGTATTAAGAAATGATAAAATTGTTCAAGCACATTTTAATATGCTTTGATTCAATAGATAACAGTAATAGTCGGCTCCAGTACAGAACAAAGTCATTAACAAAACCAAACAGAGCATAATGTGCTTGACAGTTTGTATTACGTTTCTGAACACATTGTTTCTTGTAAACACTGATAAATCAATCATTCCTTTCAATAAACGTTTGACACATAAAAAATACACTGAGCAAAATGTACTTAAATGTGTATATTACTGTTTATACTAGATTATTTACTGTAAAGGCTGTGATTAATCAACCAGTCCTATCTTTAATGAACTTTTGACACTTGAAAATAAAACAGTGAGCTGAGCAAAATGTTCTTAAAAGTGTGTTACTCTTTCTGTACTAATTATTTCCTGTCTTAATATCAGTAAACTTTTCACTCATGAAAAAAATTGTGAGCAAAATGTAGGCTATAAACAAGTAATAAATGAAGTTTTAACCCCGTAAAGTGGAGAGGTCCTGGCGACCCACTGAGAGGCTTTGGCGCCCCCTTGTGGGGGTCGGGACCCCCAGGTTAGGAACCACTGCTCTAGCTGACTCCTACAAGCTGCAGCAAACCCAAATCAACAGCTTTTATTCTGTGTGACGTAAAACATCCGTGTCCAGACAACAATACAAACCACCAGCACAAAACCAGACCCTCGACCAGAAAACACGACGCTGGGCTTCGTGACACGTGTCATTAAACACGAGACTAGCAGCGCTCCGGAGCTCATTAAGCATGTCTGCATTTATGGATCCGATGGAATAACACACATCTCCTCATGTTGTTCAGAGACCTCATACTGAGCTACAACAGACCCGTTTCTGACTCTACCAGCTGGCTCTGGAGATATAAAGACCAGAACTATTTATTTCACATCTTTCTCTGGCTAGGGGTGTCCCCTACCACAAACTCAGTCCTGATCACATTCTTCCACAATGCTTTAAAAGAAGAAAAATGGAGAACGCATCCAAGTTGTCCTTTTAGAAAATTATTTATGCATTTCTTTCATTCAGTATCTGCATAATTTCCTTAAAAGTGTCCAAGAATTTAAAATTACATGTACTTTGTTGTTGTGTACAGGCAGCTAGGGGTGCCTAACAAGTCTGTGCAGTCTCTGACCAGCTTTCCTAGCTAAATGTAATGGCCACGGATGGACGGTCCGCTCTGAGAAAAGCTGGTTTAACACGTTATAAGCTGCGACACACCTCTTTAAATCTACATGTGCCAAACCCACTTTGGCGTCAGCCATATATGAATGCTAGTCGCTAAAATGCTAACCGCAGAACAACGCTAGGGCGAGCTACAGCCAACGCTAGCCCGGGGTACTGCTAACGTCCTTGTTGGACAAGAGGAAAACAGCAAAGAAAGTTGAGAACCAACGTTCCAGATGTACCGGGAATATTCGGACTAGGAACAAATGTCAGACAGACCCGCAGCTTTTGGTCTTTGTCCTAGTCTTTGTTTGTTTATCTGCACCCCCGCCCCCACCCTGGGAACACAGTTATTAGCTTCAGGCAGTCATAAAGTCAAGGACGTAAACTGGCCAATCGGGAAGCAGCTCATTTAATATTCATGTTCTAGCCGAGTGGGTGGGCTGGAGCAGCTTTTCCGTGGTAGAGCTGTCTGATAAATGGCCGGACTTGTATAGCAGGTTTCCGAGTCTCCAGGACTCCAAAGCTCTTTACACTACAGAGAATCGTTCATCCATTTACAACGGGCTTAAAAAGCTGGTGTCTTTGTTATTCCCAGGATCTCTGGAACCCAATTGTTGTTCCGGATTGTTTCATTCTCTCCATTTTTGAATACTTTAGGACCCTCAGAAAACTCGTGCACGGTGCACTCCCGTCATACCTCATCAGGGCTGGACGCCTGGTAGACCCTACATGTGTCCTCGTAGTGCTGCTCTGCCTCTGCCTGGTCCGTCACACCATTGGACTCGTACACGGGTGTCACGTTGTGCACTAGGGCAATGGCTTTCACGGCCTCGTGAACTCGACTGCTGATGGTCTTTCGGACCTTAGTGGCTGCTGGAGCCCTGGAGGTTGGAAGGTCATGGGTAGGCTGGAAACAAATGCAGAAGGCGTTGAGACTAAAATAAGTGTGAAAAGTAGAAGCATTAAACATCTTCTACAGAATCTCTACGTCCTATCAAGACTAATCCAGAAGAAGGTCACTATTGTAGCCAAGAGAAGTAAAGATCTTTCAGTAAGTGCCCTGATAGTGATCAGTAAACATTACCAGATGTGTAGAGTAAATATGAATGAGCTGCTCTGCGCTGTGGCTTTACTATTTTTAGAAGACTGTGTGCTCCAAGGGTTAATGGTTGCGTAATTAAAGAAGTACTGTCAGTGCTTTGCTTAGGAGCTGATCCGGTTTCCTGCTCCACTAACCTCTGGTGTCAGAGGGGACAAAGAGCGTCATATGAGATCAGGAAGCATTCGACCAAACAAAAATCACAAACCTGACTCAAAATGCAGTGCTCGCTCATCCTTTCCCAACCTTTAAATGTTTTTTCAAACAAATGTTGTCATTTTGTTCCTTTTGTAGCTGTCCTTACGTGTGTGTAGGCACTAAACACATGGCTCTGTACTTCATCCATAGAGTCCATCCCATATGCCACAGTTCCAAGATGGAGCCGCCGGAACACCATCTCGTTTTGGGTAAGGGTACCTGGTGCAGGACATATCAGAGGCGTTCCAGTAGAGAAAGTTGTTAAGATGAAGTAAACATGGTTGTTCCACAGCTGGTGTTTAAACAAAAGCATCAATTATTAAGGGTGCTGAGCACGGGCCACATTTGGGCCATTCCCATCTGTACCGGGTCGGCCCGGGCCAGGTAGCCCCAGCCTGGCCCAGTTGATTCCACACATCCTTGTCTTAAGCCCATGTGGGCTGATTCTACCCACCAATCAGAGGCTTGCTCTAATGGAAGGTGTGAGTTTGCTGTCAGCAGTGGGTGTGTTGGCCCTGGTCGGCCTGAAGCAGACCCCCTCGAGAAGAGGGCTGAGAATGAGCCTTGGTTGGCCCGGAAAAATACCAGGCCACCCAGATATGTAAACAACCTACGCTACCCGGCCCGGGCCGACCCGGTACAGGTGGGAATGGCCCAATTAAGAACTGAAGCCTGTTTATTACCATCCTGTTGGCGATTCTGTCGCAATTTGTGTCCATTTTACTATAGCAGCGCTATGCTAGACATATGTTGTACAATGCAGACAAAATTAAACAAAAAAAAGAGATTTTCCATTAGATGACCTTTTTTAAGATGTTTGTATGAGGTTTAGTTCTTGTTCCTAAAACCCACGTTTGCTGTCAGGGAGTATGGGACGGATCCTGCAGTAGGACGGATCCTGCAGTAGGACGGATCCTGCAGTAGGACGGATCCTGCAGTAGGATGGATCTTGCAGTAGGATGGATCCTACAGTAGGACGGATCCTGCAGTAGGACGGATCCTGCAGTAGGACGGATCCTGCAGTAGGACGGATCCTACAGTAGGACGGATCCTGCAGTAGGACGGATCCTGCAGCAGGACGGATCCTGCAGTAGGACGGATCCTGCAGTAGGACGGATCCTGCAGCAGGACGGATCCTGCAGTAGGACGGATCCTGCAGTAGGACGGATCCTGCAGTAGGACGGATCCTGCAGGACCCACACAGATCTCGTGGGATCAGGCCGTTTTGAGGTGGCATTGGGCGGGAGCTAGTGGGAACATTTACTGAAAGATGGAGAGTGCGCCTAAGGTAGCTAACGTGTTTCACAACCCTCTACCCACAATGCTTACGGTGTATGTGTCTACACAGGAACTACTGTTGTTTATGGTGTCTTGTCTAGTTTGATTTTTTGCATTCTCTGTCACGTCAATAGAGTCTTATCTATCTTAACAAAATTAAGACTGGAGAAAGAAATTTTAAAGTGACAATGTGTAGTTTTTACTATTAATTACTACGTTACTAAACTTTCATCATTCATAAACGTTGTTGTTTTACACATTTACCTCTTCACTCGTTGCCAGTGGTGAAAGGGAGCTGGTCATTTTGCTGGAGGTTGAACGACCTGACAAAGCACTCGTTTAAAAATTGTGCTCCCAGGGATTTGACCCTAATGGGCATCCACTAGTAAGGTCTTACTTGAACACATTGGCCGTGTTCGAGACGAGCCAGTTCTGCGCAGATTAGATCAGCGGTGATCGGCGAGCAGTGCATGCCGGTTAGATTTGTGTCCGACGACGCCGACTTGCTCTGACGTCATGCATACGTAGGCAACGATAACCTCGTGAGATCAAGGCGGCCGCAGAATTTGGAGCAAGGCGCTGCAGTTGCTCTCCACCGGCTGCAAAGCCTAGAGGATGACGGGAAACGGCTGGCTCTCACCTGATCTAAGATCTGATTGGTCCTTATCTTGATCCAAACATCCGGTGGTAGAACATGAAATGTTAGTTGGTCACATGTATTCTGTAAATCATGTAACGTTGATGATGACAACTATATAGGCCATAAAGAGGAATGTGTTTTGTGTTCTTTTGTCACGTTTCCTATGAGCACACTGAAGCTACAGCTGATAACCTTTACTTATCATTACAGCTTGTCTCCATATACAATATATGATATCCACAAGCACGTGAGGATGTGTTTCAGCTGCTAGCAGGCACCAGAATTAAAATAAATAAACACGTATGAACGCTAACGTGATATTGTCATCATCGTCACCCGTGAGCTACACATGTAGGAAAATCTGTCTGATTTAAACTCTGACTTTCGGCCACGCCCCCTGCTGCGTCTGTCTGCTCATCTCGAACAAAGCCAATAATACAGCTTGCTTGCAACAATTTAGGTATGTACTGCCCCCATCGCCAGGGAAAACACACATTGTCACTTTAAAAAGAAGGGAAGATGAGATCAGTGGAAAAACTTTAAATGTGTCATAAGCATTGAGGGTGCACCTTGAGTCCTTTAGTCAATCAGACTAAAGCAGGGGTATTCGATGCCGGTCCTGGAGGGGCGGTATCCAGCGCGTTTCGTGGTTTCTTTGCTCGAACACACTTGGTTAAGAGGTTGGATCACCTGTGCAGCAGCTCATCAGGCTCTGCAGAAGCCTGTTAATCACCTGCTGATTGACATCAGGCGTGTTAAAACTAAACCGTGCTGCTACCGGCCCTCAAGGACCAAAATTAAATAGCCCTGGACTAAAGGAACAGTGTGAATAAACTTACTGTTCTAAGGATGGGGAGGCAGGAGGGGACAGGATAGAAGATACCGACATCAGCAGCTGGTGGTAATGGTCATAAATGAAGTAGGACGGGATTTAAAAATTGTGCCGCGCACACTGGTATGCACCTATCATGCTAATGCTATTAAACCACTGGCAGTTGCTTTAGCATTTCTTTTGATCTTGGTTCTATTTACACTTCTTAAACAGAATGTAGGCATTCGGCCTCCTTCCAGGCTGCGGCTGCACTGGAACAATTTAAACCGTCTTCAGAAATCACCAAAGTTTTCAATAATAAATCAGTTCTAGCAACAATATGTGGACATTTACACGTTTTCTTGGCTCTGTATTTACAGTCAAGCTGCCTGAAACAGATTTTGAACGTGACATGTGAGGGACTTGGGGGGAAAAAATAGCTATAAAAATGCCAGAGCCCTTTGACATGACATGCAACCTCTGCATTCTCAAACTTATTTTAAAAGCATTTCCTAGCAGTATATCAAAAAGATTTCAAGCACATGCATTAGCCTGACCCACGGGCCACGCTGGCCTAATCGCACACTGGATACGGGAAACGGCCGATCATTTTACTGGGGGATGTAAATCTGACGTGTAACACCTCAAGCCTGAGGAAGTGCAGCAGTAGAGCTGCTGGGTTATAAATGTGTGCATGGATGAGAGACTATGTGGTGGGGGGTTATGGTTTATGGACCCAGTAGGCTGCAGGTCTCTGTGAACAGAACCCCCACTGCAGAGCGACGCCCTCGGGGGAAGGAAAACACTAAACTCATTCAGTATGAACTCCATCGCCTCAGCAGCTCTAATTTTGTCACACAATAAAATGTTGAGCAGTTGAACCTGTTTTGTCCGTCAGCAGGTAGGAGATGCGTCCAAGTTGTTCTGGTATGGTGCTGGCCCTCACCACTGTCCCCGGGATCTTTGAGTCTTTCTTAATCATCCAGCTGAAAACCATCTTCCCCATATCCAGGTTAACACGCAGGCTGCATTCAATTAAAAAAAAGGTGATTTTCTGCTCTTCTTATTATGCAGGACACATTTAAGTGGGTCTCACCTGATGGGCACAATGTGGGAGAAGAGAAGCAGGAAGCGAAAGATCTGGAGGTACCAACGGCCAGCAAAGTGCTGCAGGGCCACCATGACCAGCGACACCACGACCAGCGCCCCAAACAAGAGCTTAGTCAGACAGTTGACCTCCAGGTCGAACAAACCCACCTGACAGTAGATAAACAAAGTTACTCAAAAGCCGTCTGTGTACATTTAACATGTACGCATGTGAAAGTCTGCTCGATTTGAAGTTAAACGGATCGCTTCTCTCATCAATGATGGATCGAGTCCACGAACAGCTTTAATGTGACAAGAGCTCCGACTGGGGGCTCTACTGTACCTTGTGTCTTGGGTTGGAGGTGTTCATGACGCTACGCAGCTCCTTGCCCGTGTAAATCACAACCCCCACCGCTGTGCCTGAGAGGAGGGGGAGAAACCAAAAAGTGCCTCGGGTCAGAAGAATAAAGCTCCAACATAAACCATCATATGTCAGTGAGAGGTTTCCCAGACCTATAATCCTGACATGAATAGACTTTCTTAAATGAGGAAAGTCAGATTTCCAATTGCATAATGGATAACACGTGTTAAACGGGATTTACTCCCCCGGAGGAGAAATCCTATTAGAGGTGCCTTCCCCAGAGCTGTTGATAAACAACTAAAGGGTTCGTTGGTGCCGTTTCATTCACAATATGTTTGGTTTGACAAATGATGAGATTCTTAGTTAGAGGAAAAATGATGTGTCAGTGCAGCAGACACTGGTCCTTGCTGCTGCTTTACAAGAGCACGAGCAGTTGGACGTTTACCAGAGGCAACAACAGTGCTGGCCCAGAGGGTGTTCTCAATGCTGAGGCTTTCATTCACTGGTGGGTCTCCATCCTCCTGAAACGGGTCAGACAGCAAAGTCGCTATAAAGTCAGTCAGGACTGCACGTTTATTTTATCACGCTTTACTTATTTAGCCAGAAAATGATTGTAGTAGCCGGGATTAAGCAAAGATGTCACGTAGACACGCACCCGGGTGAAAGTTCCAATGAAGTTATGGATATCAATGTTTGGTTCTTCTGCGTAGACGTACGATCGGGTCTGGAGCAGGTCCTGTGGGAGGATGATGAGAAGATTTAGGGTCGGAAAGCGTCGGAGACGTCACAGTTATCCACAACAACACGGCTGTTCACATTAAAAAGTCTTAAAGCTCATTTGGCAAGAATGATTTAGGTCTGCTTTTTCATTTCATACAGCAAAACTCACTTGAGTTCAAGAATAAAGAAAAGAGAAAGAAAACTTTTATTTTATTTCCTAAACACTAAAAGAATCACATTTCACAATCTTCCCTCCCTTAGCAAACACAAATAATACATTTAAATAAATTCAACATTAAAAAAACCTACTTTTCCAGTAAAGAAGTGATTTTTGGTCACTTATTTATTTGCCTAAAGATTTTTAACAGATTAGTAAATAAATAAATGTGTTTTGAGCTACAAATGTCCGTATAACTTCTTGAGTTCAGACACACACTGAAATCTTCTGGTAAAAGTAGAGGCCAGCGGTGACACTCCAGCTTTTAGTTTGGACAGACTTTGATGTGTGGGCCACCCTACACTTGACCTAAATGAGCACTCTGCCCTAATGAAAGACCTGCTTTTCTGAGAACACGGTCCACAATCACGCCTGTGTTCCTCGGCTACGAACAGACGCGGTTCCAAACGTCTGCGCTGGAACTCACAGCGGCGGTCGGCAGCCTCTGAGTGCAGGCCACAGGGAGGCGAAGCTTCCAGTCCGTCTCTCCGTCTAGCTGGTCAGTCCGTAGGAAGCAGGAGCCTGGGAAAGACAAGGAGTGCTTTGACCTCTAGAGGGCAACCACATCCAGGCTTTTGGTAGGAAAGAGCACCTCACCACCTTTAGAAGTAGACGTACATCTTACACTTAACTCCAAACTAACGCTGAACTGCTGGTTTCTAGTTCTTTTAGTCATAAAAACAGACATAAACTAATATTTCAATGAAATGACTGCTGAGTGAGGCTGAACTGCAGATTACTGCTGACAGAGAGGCATCAGTTATAGCCCATCCCCCTCACCGTTCCCCAGTCTGCATGCGTCATCCTGCCCAGACCTCCCCATCGCGGCCTGGCCTTTCACAACTGACCCAATGGCCTCCACATGGAAGAAAGGTAACTAACAACCACGTCCAGTAAAATAACGGTTTGTTGTGTTGTTTTCTCGTGGAATAGGAAAGTGTAGCAGCAACAGACGTTTAGCTTTTCTAATGGAGTCCTATTTGGATTTGTGTTGGCTGATCGTAAAGCTTCTGTGTGCATTTTCTCATAGACAAAGCAATGCAGGTCTCAGCGTTGTGTCATTACTGATGGAAGCCGTCCTTGTCCATATTTGATTATTCAGATGAGGCATTAAGAGATCCTCCTCTCTTGTCCCATGTTTTCCCTTTGCATTTGATCTTGTGCATCCCATGATTTTCCTTGTCATTATCTACTCATTTGAAAGACAAAATTAGCTGCACACAAATATCAAGAAAGAAGCTTTGTCTGAGGGAAGTAGCAACATTTAAAGTGATCATTTACCACCAGGCTTGGTCAAAATCTATGCATTGTTGGGGCTCAGAGGTAATCCCAGCACCTCAGCGCCTTTTAAAAAAGGCCATTTCCCTGGCAGGCCAGCCCTGTTGGAGAAATCTGGATAAACGACCAGCAGATGTTTACCATTTCTTTCAGTGGTCCTTAAAAAGATCATGTCAGCAGGAACGCGCTGGTTCTACAACAAAAGACAGAAAAACAAGGTTTCAACATTGTAACTTTCCATCTTCCCATATAAGACTCGTAGATTTTCATGTGAACCATTACCAACAGTCAGTCACCAATAATAACCACACAGAGCCATCCTGATATAGTCAGAAGAGGACCCCAGTCAACTTTTACACACAGCTTGACCTGGCTCCTACCCTTTCTTTGAGAATTTCTCAGTTCAAATAATCTGGACAGCTCCTCTAATCTTAAAACACAAATAAGTTGTTGCTAAGCTATAAATAATGTGTCTATCTATTTTAACTCCCACGAATAAACTCCAATCCTAGGACTGAACGATTCAGGGCAAAGTGCTTAAACTGTAGGGAAAGCTCCCTTTAGAACGAATCTACAAAAACTTCAGGAAGGGTTTGTGAGGTGGACATCTCAGAAAATCACTCTACAAACTTAAAGCATCCAACTACGACTGGAATTTTAGAAGATGATGGCACGTTTTGGTCATTTCTAAATGTGTTTGGAGGTAAAAGCTATAGATCCTTTCTCTCTGACCCACTGCACCAGGCTTAAAGATGATGAACTAGCAGCTAGTCTGAGAAGCCATAACAAAGGGATTAAAACAGCTCCAGTCAGAAGGGGTTGACATTTGATAACATAAAAGCATGATTTTGACATCATCCACATTATTGGTTATGATGAACTAACATTTTCCTCACTCCTACAAGGTTTATACAACATTGCTGGAAACAGATGACCAGTAGAGAAGCCAAAAGAGAAAGATCGCATGGTCATGGGCTGATATAACATGTAGGAATTTGGAGTTGTGTGGGCAGAGTTTGTGTCATGCTGGGCAATTATTAATCCTCCTGTGCTGACCTTGCTTTGAGGTACCGCAAGGATCCATCCTTGTCCCCCTTCCATTTTCGCTGAATCCTTTGCCTCTAGGTGCACTATTCTTTCTAATTTCACCTGTATGCTGATGACTGTCAGGTTTATTTTCCGTTGAAGTAATGTACCGTTGGCTCGACTGAGCCTCTGACTGCCTACAGGAGATTAAATCCTAGGTGGCTCTCAAACGCTTGTGTTCAAAAGACCAAGTTCCCTCCATTTTCAACACATTTGCAGTGGTCTCTAGCATCAATTAATGCCTTGGGAGTCTATCTTTGTGGGGGAAAAGCTCTGGTGTGACAGTTTCAGGACAGGATCTGGAGTCTTATTTTCTGATAGTTGGACATCTTGCCTCCGATTGGCTAATAGCAACACAACCCTACTATTGAATGCTATTCGCTCTGCAACGTTAATGTTTTATCCCCACAAATAACACAAACCTGAAAAAGTTCTACGGGCTCGGTTCTCTTCTGGACGCTTAAACAACAAAAGCCTTCCTCGTCACAAGCCAAGGTGGGCGAGTTGTTGAATAATAACTTTAAAAATGTGACGTGCAACTGATGCGCTTTTCTAATCCGAGCATTTCCTCATTAATGTTCTATTGGCAACTAAGGCGGGAAATAGGAGTACAAGACTATTTTCACATTCAGCCTGCATGTTTAACCCAGAGTGACAATTCAAATAAAAAATTTGAAAATACTTTCTCAGTGAAACTGGTCTTTAATGAAAAAATGTTTGAAGTTGTTTTATTAAATCCAAGCAGGATAAAGACATGGTGCTATGCATGGTCTTGACCTTTCCTCTTTAAACACCTAAAGAGGACAGGGTATTGTTATTAACCAGGGAATAAACTGGACGTGGGTTTTAAGTTAAACAGCCAGGTGAATGGAACCGTCACATCTTGTTTATTTAATCAACACAACTTAGCTAAAATTAGGCTATTTCTTTCAAATGCTCATTTGGAAACTGTCATTCATGCTTTCACAACCTCTGGCTTGGCTCATTGTAAATCACTTTACGCAGGAATCAGTCATGGTTTCATCACAAGACTTCATTCACTGCATTTTACTCTTGTTTTGGCATCGCTGCAATCACTATCAATTTTTTATTTTTTTTTGTTTTTAAGCCCTTGAATGGCAGTGTCTTTTTTTTTCTTTAGCCAGTCTTGTTCACCGGTATGTCCCATCGCCCGTCTCCGGTTAGCGGAAGAGAGTCGACTGGTTGCTTCATAGCATCGATAAAACTCGAGACGGAGACATACTTTTTCAGTCTTAAATTTTGTGGAAAGTGTCAAACAGGTTTTAATTGTAATTTACAGACTCGTTTTATCCTCTAGCCTTCGCACACAGCTAGAAGTGAAAGCTTGTTCTTTTAATTTGCTTTTAATGCTTCAATTTTTTTAGGTCTTACTCATTTTTAAAATTTTGTTCTTTTAATCTCTCTCCTGCGTACAAGCCTGTTTTCTTCTATATGGTTGAGTGAGGGCGCTTTTGGTCTTGGATCAGACTAGCTGTTAGCTCATCAATCCTGTAGGACATAAACATGGTTTCTCTGAACAGAAGTAATTCAGAATGGAGATAAAAATTTGCACACAAACACTGTTCAAAATGGCTGAAATATCCCTTTAATCATAAAATCAATGACAGTAAATTGAATTTATATTAAAAATCAATTTAAAGGCAATTGAAGTTGAAATATCTTGTTTAGATGCTTAGCTTTGACAAGCTGAGGGCAAACATTGATTGGTAGATTTCAAAATCTTTACTAACTCCGTCCACTTCAGTCTCCAGTGGAGCCCAAATTAATACCGACCCACCTTGTTATTTTGTTTCAAGTCACAGATGTTCATAAAATCTGGAACAAACAACACTCAACGAACCTTTTCTATGATTATGAGATCTCCCACTTGAATACCGCTGCTTTTCACCTTCACTGTTCCTGAAACAGAAACATTGTGTTAACATGTACAAGACCCAACTGAGAAGATGAAAATGGACTTCTGAATTCCAGAGGACTGATTTTTCAGCTTTTCTCTCCAAACATGTTTTCTAAGACCTAACCACACATGAATGTACGCTTTGCTGTTGTCCTGCGTCCCACACTGGTCAGCTCAGCCACTTTGAGACAGTTGCTCTCCACACACATTCTAAAGAATGTTGGGGGAGCTGAGCTTTCCTCTCATTCCACTTGGAATGAACAGGCAAAATTGTTTGGAAAGGATCAGTGACCCTTGAACTGTGCCACGACCTTTTGGCTTTGCAGATGTAAGACATTAAAGCACATTAATATTGTTATACGTTTAGGCTTCACAAGCGTGGCCTTTCTTTTTTTAAGCCACAGAACAAACAACAATGAATGCAAGTTGAACTTTACTAAAGAGTTTTTAACTAAAACTATTTTATTCTGGAAGCATTTAATGAAAAATTCTCATCTATGTGCAAGGAGTTGAAAACAACAGCAACCAGTGTCTTGTAAAGTAAAAAAAACATCATCGTACAAAGTACTGACACCATTAAGATACTAAAAACCACAACACATGCACAAGGGTCAGCGTGGTGAAGGCAGTCAGTGACTGTTTATGACTGAAACAAGCTGCCACATCAAAGGACCTAAGTGATGGAAACCACAAGAGGTCTCCTGCATTTTATTGCTAGTAGGTAGCCCTTTATACCAAGGCCTCTTATGTACACTTTTACATCCCTGCTTTGAATTACCACCGTTTCCCCGAGTCCCAATAAGTTTTAATAGGACAAACTTCCGACAGTCAGCGCAGACGGATACCAGAAAAACAAATACCAAGCCGATATGATCAGAGCTGATTCCAGCTCTCACCTCTTGCTGAAAGCTTGCTGTAAATCTGAGAGTTCACTTCTTTGTCTCGAAGGTAGCATCTTATTTCTTCAATCGCCTCTCTCATGACGGTGATAATCAAAACAAGACCCTGCAAAGCCAAATGTCACAGTTACAGAGAGAACAACCTACCTTCATTTAAGATTCATCCAGCCCTGAATTTAAAATTTAAAATAACACACTGACCGTGCAGTGATACAACTTATTACTGAGGGGGGAAAGGTGGACTGACAATAAAAGACAGTTAGCAGAGGGTAACATACCAAAGGGACCCAGTAGGTGTAGAGGGCCCCTAAACGCAACTCTTCCACAAACTGTGAGCAGGCCAGAAGCAAAAAGTACAGGTTGAAGAAGTACTTGAACTGATTAAACAGCACCTGAAAACACACAAAGGACATCTCAATGAGACCTTCAACAGCAACAGCAACAATATTGTTATAATAACAATATTATTATTATTATTATTATTATGTATTGATTCCCTTGGGAAATTTTTGCCCAGCATTTAACCGATTTCAGAGGAGCAGTGGGCTGCCAATTGTCCAAGGATACTCAGCATGTGGCCTGCAGGGCCAAGGATCGAGCTGCAAAGACTGATGAATTTATCAAAGGTCATCCATTGGTGATATCCCAAAATTCATGTGAACAGTGGCTCGGGGGTTAGGAGTCCGCCCTGCTGCTGGTCAGATTTCCCTACCATAGTGTGCCCCAAAACTTTTCTAAAATGTTTAGAAAATCCTACCAATTTAATATATGTACACACTAGGGATGTGAATCTTCATCACTGAGGCTGACTCGATTGACTCTGGAGAGACTAGATCTCTTGGCTGGTCAGGGAACACCTTAGGATTCCCTCAGAGGAGCTGGCCCAAGTGGCTGGGGAGAGGGAAGTCTGGGCCTCCTTACATATTATACATTTTTATTGCTACAATACTCTGTTGAAATAAGGGAGTTTAATTGAGGTTTGGGTCTGAGTTTGGAGTATTCAGACGTTCCCTGGAAGTGGGTTCACTGGGGGTGTCTGGGGCTGGGGAGGTGCTGCCCCGCTTTGGAGTTGCCTCAGAGGGATGGACTACTGAAAGTTGTGAGTGGGGCCACTTGGGGGGTCTCGGCGGTGGCTATGGGTTGCTGCCTGGTGGCTGCATCTCCCCAGAGTGGGTGGGGGCCTGGGGGCTCGGGTTGTGGAGGCGGCCGGCCCCGTGTGGGGCTCTGGGTGGGGCCTTGGGGATTGGGTCCTGACTTGTATGCTGCCAGGAAGAAGGCTGGAACATGCAGCAGTGCTGGCCCAGGCTCAGGGGCCTTTAGTCTCCTCTGAAATAATAACAACTCTGTCCCATCACGGGGGAGGGGGATGTCCAGGAGGGGGAGGACCCAACCATACCTGGATTTCCTATGTCTTACATATTCTGGAAGTTGGGCAAATGCAGGGATGGGAGTAGATATTCTGCTGTGGTGGGGCTGGGTTGGTGCCCTTGGACTCCATGGGGCTCTGCAATGCTGCTGCTTTGGGCCCTGGCAAGATGGGCTGGGGTCTCCATCTCCTGGGGGGCATTTTGGGAACGGAGGTGCCTATTGGGTCCAGTGGGGGGAGCTGGCTCCCTGGAGGGCTTAAAGCCGGGCGTACACTGGGCGACTTTTTCACTCGTAGCACTCGGCTTCAGCTCAAACTGTACGACTTCCTCGCGGGGCAGATCTCACGAGTCATGTGCTCACACTGTACGACCCAGTTCTCAGATGCGATCTGACTGCTCACACTGTACGTCTGGTAGCAACACGTCGAACCTAAAAATATGCTAAAAATAGCAGTTTTTACTCAACACGTCAGACTTTTTTGTCTTGCCTGTTGTCCTTCGGGAGTGCTGCAGGAGGACACACAGGGATTTATGGGGGTTGGATGAGGAAAACGAAATAAAGAAAGTAAATCTGTGTTTTGTGATCAGTTTAATTTGACATGAACACGACAAACACACTTTCTTGACGATCTTTGTGAGTAAAAAAACGTGTAGAAACAAAAACGAACAACGTGTGTTATTAGGGAAATAGCGGGCGAGCGGTGTTGATGCAGGATTGCACATGCGCCGTGAGCGGTTCTGATACTTTTTGGGTCGCAGCTGCTCGCAGCGCCGCTTCAACCCTCACGAGGGACGAGCAAAATATCAAACATGTCATAAGTCTGTGTGAGCTCACGATTGCTGATCGGTAGCTGGTCACGTGGTGTTAATCGCCTCTCGTAACCCCCTGTACACTACACGACCGCTCGGCGCAAAACTCGCCCTGATCTTGTGGATTCTCGCACGAGTGGAAAATCGGCTCAAAAAAGTGAAAAAGTCGCACAGTGTACGCACGGCTTAAGTCCAACCAACCATTCTTCCCCATCCCCATACATTTTTCTACTCCTGCTCCCTCACATCATCACACAAACATGCACATAGGACTTTGACGGGTGGGTAAGTCAGGGGGTGCGGGTATGGATCCCATTTCCGCATTCCTGTGGCAGCCTGCCCCCCAATTTTATTTGAACATTCAGCACTTCCACAAACGATGTTCCACGCAAACACACACTTAGGGCCTTGGGTGTGAGCACACTCAACGGCATTTGGCAAGGGGTTCTTTCAGCCTCATCCCAAGTGCCGGTGACCACTTCCAATTTTAAACTGCATTTAGACACAGAGGGCTGTGGGGGGAAGTGGGGTTGTGTGGTGGCATCAGCTGGCATAGGCCAGACGATGCCCGCACTGCCCTCTCATCACAGCCACCAATACACCTCATCAACACGCACCAACACTATATTGGAGCAGGCGGAGGGAGACTAGGGGTCTTAGCACACCTCTGTTGTCGCTTGGCTTCCCGGGGCTGGAGGCTAGGAGGGGGAGCTGGTCGTATGGTTGGGGTCTGGGTGGTGGGTTGCTTTGCTTGGCATTGAGCGTGGGAGTCTGCTCATTAGCACCCCAGCAGAAAGGGGCAAACTCTGGGAACCGGTGATGGTTGTACCCTTTGTGCAGCAGTACCGGGACCAGAGTGAATAAGGTGTGTATGGGGAGTGTGAGTGGGTGTCTAGCATTCATTTTTGTAAGTCTTAGGTTGTATGTGTATGTGTGAGCATGAGGAAGGGTGTGTGTGACTGTGTCTGTGTATGACTGTATATGTCAGGTGAGGTCTTGGACTCCTCCCCTCTCACTGGACTTCTTGTGCTGCTACACATCTTCGCCTGCCCTCCCCCTGCCACATTTGGTGTGAAGTGTGGTGCGTTGGTTTGCCTGAGTGTTTGCCACTCTCGGGTCAGGAGGTTTAAGATTTTTAGCATCTGTCTGATCGATCCCGGTGGCTGCCTGGTGGTATCTGAGTCCCCTGCCTCTGTTGGGTCCCCAGCGGGGCTGGTCGCCCCTGGGTCCCGAGTCACCGGGTTCCGAGCTCAGCAGACGTGGGGGTGGGAGGCTGCGGGCAGGCCTGTGGGCTTGCCGCTGAGATCTACCCCGACTCTGCTGGCTGCTGGTTGAGGCAATCCTCTGCACCTCTCAAGAGGGGGCTGAGGCTTTCCTGGTTACAGTCTCCCTGGGGTCCCTGCGCTCTGGGGCAGCTCCTGGATTTTGAGACTTGGAGCTCCCTCCATCTCCTGCACATCTTTGGGGGGCAGATCTGTGGCCCCTCACGCTCTCTATTGGATGCTCCTACAGAGAAACCTTACATATACGGTGGCACAGGAGTTAAGTGCTCACCCCGTAATCGGAAGGTTGCAGGTTCGAGCCCCGCTCAGTCTGTTGCTGTCGTTGTGTCCTTGGGCAAGACACTTAACCCACGTTGCCTGCTGGTGGTGTTCGGAGGGACCGGTGGCGCCAGTGCTCGGCAGCCTCGCCTCTGTCAGTGTGCCCCAGGGCAGCTGTGGCTACATCGTAGCTCATCCCCACCAGTGTATGAATGTGTGTGTGAATGGGTGAATGACTGATTGTGTTGTTAAGCGCCTTAGGGGATTCCAGGACTCTAGAAGGCACTATATCAAATACAGACCATTTACCATACAAGCATGTGTACACACACAGGTGCTCACATGGTGCTCTCATAAGTATGGACTTGGGCACGTTCAACATATGTCTTAAGGCTGTGGTTGGCACTAAATGCACTATCATCACATTTAGTGACTTCGGGGACTCCAGTATGACAGAGTCATGGGTTTTAAACAGAATGTGAGGGTTCTCAAAATTAGATGCAATAATATCAGTGAGTAAATTAGACTTTGCTAGCTTCACCCCATAATCTGACCAGCATTTTTTTAGGATTCCTCGAGACACTTGAAGCCTGTCCTTCCGCCATTTTTGCTGCTCTCCTGCGCTCACGCCTGAGAGAACTTGTCCCAAAATTAAGCCAGAGATCGGCCCTGCACCTGCACGGTTCAACGATGTCCAAAGAAGACCTGCACGTAACATCAAACTGGAGGATGAGATAGTCTGGACTGAGAGGCTCAGAGGACTGGCAGAGCACTCTAGCAATGAACACAGCAGAAAACTCGGTATTTCTGTGACCATTGTGGGTCTTTCACTAAATTCAGAGTAACGTCAGACTTGAACTTCTTTGGCATTACTGTAGGCAACGTTAAACTTCTTGTCTGATGAGCTGTTGCTTGATGCTGAAATAGACTGGAGGGAGGGGACACTTATCAATACATGTAATGGGTTTTCATTCTGCTTGACCAGCATCTTAATTGGAAATGCAGACATTTCCTGTTTTAATACCAGCGTGCTCTGGCTCAGAGTTGCCCAAAAGCAGCTCATTATGCTGCTGTTCTGTTAAGCCCTTCCACACTAGCGCCGGCTCCCCTCTGCGCAGTCAGTCCCAGCCCAGCCGGGTTCAATACACACACACAAATTCAGACGTGACTGAGCATATGGGTGGTCTCCAAAATTGGTGCGAAGCTATCAGTGATGTCATGAGAGCTCCGAGCACGTGGGCGGGGCAAAAGATGCATGGAGAAGTCCACGGTAAACAAAAAGGCAGCCGTGAGCAATGTTGCTTTTGGAGACTGACTGATATTACAGCCGGCTCTGCTGTATCTGTCCTACCAGAGGGCTGCTCAAGCCTTGCAGCACTGTGTGTGTGTGTGTGTGTGTCCATTTCTTACATTATATCACAGTACATGGTAGGAAAATCACTTTCATATATTTTTAAAAAATCCTACGTAATCTCTGAAAGGGAAAACTCCAGACAGCAGCTTTAATTTTGCACATAAAATGTAATGTATTTTGTTCTTCCAAGAAAAATAACAAAGGAGTGAAGAAAATCTTGCAGAAGGACCCAATATTCAGCAGAACCACAGTATGTTGTTCTATTTGTGAGAGTTAAACAACAGCCATTACAATTTGAACTGACTGGTGTTTTATTTTATTATTTATTCATGTTATAATTACATATTATTTTAGGTTGATAAATGTGGTTAGGAAAGAAATTTGGAATTCAGAAAAATAAAAATAGAAAAAGCAGAATTTGGGAAAAAACTAAATGAAATCCATGAGCCCTAGTATAAGTGCAAAATAACGACTGAATCAATATCAAAAGAGTTTTTACTTTGCTTTACTTCCACCAGTGTGGCTCTTAGTGTTTAACACACACACACACACACACACACACACCTTTATTCAGGTTAATTTCCACCACATCGTGAGAACACGATCAGAAGCCTGGTGGAGACTAGAGGACTAAAACAATCCACAGAAACATAAAACTGACATATGTTCAACACAAAAGAACTTCTTCACATGAAGCAAAGTAAATAAAAAACATCCCAATTTGCAATGCAAAAACTCCTTGCTTTTGTCTTTTATTTCCCAAACAAATCTGAGCTACTTTCAATTTCAGACTACATAAACAAAATAAAAATTAAATCTTAAGACAACTGGATACCCAGAAAGCAAATGAATATGGAAATCAGGAATGGAAAATGCCTAAATCAAAAACACAGCTTAGCAAAAGCAGTCCGAGTCCCACACATTCAAATGTGATGTGAAACAGCTTGTATCACTGTTTAGCATCAGATTGTTCAAGAAGAATTCCCTAGGTGATCTACACAGGCAGCAGGGTTTTTGTAAATATTCTCCCATCCTCCATACCATCATCCCCTTGTTTTTTACAAATACTATCCATCCACATACATTCGTAGGTATGCCAAATCTCTAGGAGGCAGTAATTTCAAAAATCCATCCAGGTCTGACCCGAAACCTTTTGCATCCTTTAGTGCTGCTATGCGAGTCTCTATGGCCTCTATAAGCACTGCAAACTTGGAAAAACCCATCCACCCATTTTCCATCTGTGTATACTGGCATTATCCACCTAAAACAAGCCGTTTGAAAAAGTCCCAGATTGTGATGTCACAAACAGGTGAATTAGCATAGAACTAGGGGTGGGCAATATAAACGATATAAGGTAGAAACGATATAAAAGTGGGTAATGATAGAGTTTTTGGCTCTATTGCGATATCGCTGTAACACATGACATCACTAAGATGGCACCCGAGCCGACATTGGGACAACAGAATGGTAGTGACTGCAAGCATGGACAGGGACGTCTTTATTCTGCTGCAATATCTTTGCCATTTGAGGATTTTTAAAAGTGTGTCATTTTGACACAAAGAAACAGGAAAAACTATAACGCAATAAATATCGTTATCGCACATGCTTAAGATTATATCGCAATACAGATTTGAGGCCATATTGCCCAGCCCTAAAAAGATTTCATAATTAAAGTAATCATTTTATAATTCTAAATAATCACTGAAGAAAGAAGATTTTATGATTAAAAATCATTACGTATTGCCATGTATAATTAAGCAATGAAATGTTCAGGTATCTGTATTCAATGATGGTTGTATCTAGTATGTTTACTAGATGAGGTCATCACCATCTGCTCACACACCAGACAAGAAGTAAGGTTAAAATTAAGAAAGCATGACACATAACCAACCTTGTCCCTAGACTCAGAGACTCTGCGTCTCAGAGCGTGTGTTTCTGAGATTCTTGGTAAGTTTGATATATAAACCAGCCGCTCTGCTTTCTCGTCAGTAGGGAGAGAAAGCTGGAGACTGGCCATCTCATAGCAGATCTCTGGCTCAGAAAGATTTTGACACGCTGTCAAAACCTTAAAGCTTTTTGCACCTGCAAAGCTGAACAACAAGATCGTTTTCCTGCAGAACAAAGCTGATTTTGTAAAACTCCTTCAGAGTTATTTTAAGACGCGTGGTTTCCATCCATCTGTTGTGACACGAGACACATCTCTAGGACTGAAAGGACGGCACCTTGGTACTGTACAGCCCTCCGGTGCCAGCGGTCATCCGACCACTCTGACTTTCGGATCCACCGAGAGGGTGCCTCCACGGTAATGTAGACGCACAGACAGCGTCTGTATGTAGTTTGACAAATAACAGCTTATAGCTTATCTGCAAACCAAATTCTCTTAGCCAGAACGCACCTCTCTGAAGATACGGAGATTCTGATTCATCATCTCATATTCACATAGAGTTTTCAGACACCCATCTTTTAGTTCCATCCACTCACAGGATAATAGTTTAAACCATTTGTCAAGTCTTAGTTGTTTGTAAAATAAATTCTTATTTGTTTGCAAACACTGACTGGTTCTCGAATCATGAACGAAGTGTGAACGATCCCTTAATAATTAAAAGAATTCTAGAACCTTCTAATTAATCATCCTAAGACCAAGCAAGGTGATGTTCTAGAGTATTACAGCTATTGGTCACAAGTAATGAGAATAGAAATAAATAGCTTTTAAAGCAATTTATTTAGCCAACATTACTATTTTCCATTACACCTACATAGTACAAACCCTCACCCCAAAATTCCACTACCTCCGCTCCGGCACGAACTCCGCAGCAAAATCGGTCCCGTTGTAGTCAATCAGAGCTGTTCCACTACTGCGGCCGTGCGGCGCCGTGCGCCATCCGGCAAAAATAGAATCAATCCTATTTTTGCCGGACGCCGGAGCACCTCCGCAGTCAATGGACAGAAATCACAACCACCCAACAGGAAAGGGAGCAAGCACAACTTCCGTTATTTCACAATAAATCGATAAACAAAAGGCGTTTTTTGTTTCATATGCACAGGTTTAACAACTTTTAACAACTATCAATGGCGGTTGAACTTTAAATGCACAAAAATAAGCCATAAATACAGTTTCTACTATCAAAGCAGTCGCCCTTTGTTGATCCAAACACTGCTGATCTCTCAACACAAATGATGGGCAGATTAAACAGTTCATGTCGATGCTTCTCCCACACAACGGGTGTTTGGATCTAACTTCCGCGTTTATTGCTCGGACTGTATCGCAAGATCTCGAAAGTCCTGCGCATGCCTGTTTGCCCCCCTCAGGTCTCCGCACCGGAGCGGAGCCGTTGTAGAGCGGGTACCAGTAAAAATTGAGTTTGGAAGCGAGCGGCTGCGGAAGGCGGGGGCGGACCGGAGCGGAGCGGAGGAAGTGGAATTCTTGGGTTACAGCTCTACTCTGAGTACCTTCTAGATATCTGAGCTTCTCAGCTTATAGCAGCCTAAGGCCATTTATGAAGATTTAATTTATGAAAAATATGATCATTTTCCCACTCCGGAGCTTCTGTAGCTCAGAGTAAAGTCAGCCTGCATGTAATGCCTACAACACAGTTTGACTAAAGGGCTTTGAGTGCCTCTGGTTAAATCAAGTTAAAAAGCATTAATGCAGCTAGTTAAAGTTGGGTTGCTAAAACCCGCCGGTGAACAATGCATAGCTTGTTTTGTTGATATTTAGTTGGAAATTGAATTCAGGCCAACTCCCAGAACGGATGATTAAAGTAAAAGCAAGTTTTTGAAAATATATTCTGTCATTTGTTGTTTCTGTTGGAGAAAGGAAAGTGGGAAAAGGTCTAATTAAATCAGAAGTCGAATTTGGAATGAAGAAATCTGAGATTTTACTTTAAAGCGCATCCCTATCTGAAAGGGAAAAAACTTTGTTGTACTGAAAATTACAACAAGTATCCATTCTGAACGGATTCCCTGCTCCATTGCATGGAAAATGTCTGTTGACAGAGAACGACACACATCAGTCTCATAAACAACTGGCAATCCCAAGTTGGTGACTAGCAGACTGGTTAATTAGGATCTTCTAGAACAAGAAAGGACAAGTGTTCAACAAGTTGGCAGTGACCGGCAGAGGTGAGTGGAGGGTTTGGAGTGACACTAACCCCAGGAAGGAAGGTGAAGAAGTTGTACTTCTGGTTGTTTATGACATTCTTCGGGTACCTCTGTTCCCGTTTCTCTGGGTGGCCAAGCCACACGGTGCGGGGACGGAAGTCTCCCATACCACAGCATCCTGACCACGGACAGCACCTGAAGCATAGCACAGGGAGACAGTTCACATTTAATCATAGTGTAAGGGTTGTGTTGGTTATTTTTCAATATGCTGAGATACAGACACACATTAAAACCAAACAGTAGACCTGGCATCATCCGTTAGAGACTGGAGCTCCGCTTTCTCTGGCTTCTCTGAGGTGTCTCTTTGTTTACTAGTTGCTTAAAGAGCAAGTCACCCCCTACAAGAAACTTACTTCACTCCCACTTCATGTCTGAAAAATGCGACAAATGCTGTTGCTTGGCAGACCGAGAGGGCGGAGCCGCTAACAAATACACACACACACAGGCTCACAATGGCATTATGACATCGTAATATACCAGATGACATCATAGCATACCTCTTAGCCAATAGCGGTGGCAGATTTAAATTCAAATACAGTGCAGAATGTTTCCCTGACGACGGCGCAACACTGACAGTTTTAGGCAGAATATTTGAATTTTAACCAAGATGCACTGAACTGCCAAATTATTGACGACACGTGTCTGTAGCATGATTAGACACTCGTTTATATAGTTTATCAGCAAAACAATGTGATTTGGGGGTGACTTGCTCTTTAATGCGGTCTGAACAGCAGTCTGGAGTCTGAACACCAGTACTACCCTGATGTGAAGAAAGGCCCCTGTCTTTACTCTAGCCTAACAAAACCATCCACGTTAATGAACCCAAAGGCATCTCATTCCTCATATGGCACATTTCCTGTCCAGGACGTGTCCCGGTTGCATTTGAAAATAAATCAGAAATAGTCAGAACCGCTGAGGCGTTCTTGGCTGTTCTGCCACTCTTTGAAAACAATGACTTTACCCTATTTAATAAACACCTGAGGCCAGGTTTCATCACAGAGACACTATAGTTTACTGCTAAAAGTAGAATCTGTCTAATAAAATGGTAAACAAGAAAAACAAAGACAAGTGTAAGAATGCTTTAGGACTTGTTCTGGAGTACTGGTTGTGACCTTTCTAAATATTTGATACAAAACAGCTTAAGAACATGTCAGACTGTATGATCCACTATCTTGAACTTCCATAGGAAGGTTAGCTGATTAAAGGAACAGGCACTGGCAGCAATTTAGCCTGAAAAAAAGGGAACGTGTACCAACCTTACCTGCTTTAGATAGCCCTCTGTCAGTAGGAGAACCAGGGATAAGGTCTGGCTGAACTGGTGAGCTACTTGCTGATCTAAATGTGACTAGATTTAAACTTAAAACAACTATAATTTCAAAAATGTAATTCTAGCTCACACAAATAGTACTTTATTATTTGTACACCGACCATAAAGTTCTCATTGAATTGTTAAGGCAGAATTATGTGGTTATTTGCAGTGGAAAAGGGTGGCAGCGCCTGTGGCTGGAAATCCTAAATAACTCTGAAGTGAAATAAAATGTGAAGTTATTCCTATGAAGTTTTAAAGGTGAATTATTCAAGAATATGGTGAGAATTTTACAGTGAGAAGATCCCAAAAGAATCTAATGCCTTGGAAGGAAGGTTATACTGAAACATATTTCATATCCAGCTGGCTGTGGGGATTGTCAGGTTTTCTCCTGTACAAACAAAGGAAGTTGGGACGTAACTACCGTTTACCATCAGTGAGTGTGGTGCTGCCGTGTCTCCTGTGAGCTAATACTGCAGCGCCGACCACTGTCATTTGACGACGGTTGGCAAAAAGCTCCAGAGTTGTTTCAAGTGGTTACAGTAACCACATTTTACCAAAGGATGTCATTTTGCCTTTATTTCTACATAATGCACCTTTAATCACTGGAATTTTTTTAAACATTCTGTAACCAGCCTCATGGCGACTAGCCGTTAGCTTGTCGATGCAGTCATAAACATCTCCATTTTCAAACGGAGGTCTTCCAGAGAGCCTCCCCCGACAGCTGAAATATCATTTAGTAATCAACTTTTACACAGAACCCCACTGAAAAATACGTCAAATATTCTCTTGTAATGGGACCAAGTATCATTGTATTTAAAATGTACTTATTGGCAGGACATAATCTTCATCAAGATAGCAGATTTCTTAGGTTCAGTGCATGCTTCAGTTAGAGCAGGGGCGTCAAACGTGCGGCCCGCGGGCCGGATCAGGCCCGCACAGTTTAAATCCGGCCCGCGAGATGACTGTGTAAACCTTATTTTCAGACTTTACAATGTAAAGTCTGAAAATAAGCTTTCATTTTTCATTTAAACTACTGGTGAAAGCTACACGATGTCAGGTATCAGGAGTCAAAGACATGCATGAAACTGATACAGCATGTGATCTGTGAATCAGTTATTTGAATTACTGCGGAATAGTCTGGGTTTTTTGTTTTGTATTTCACATTTTCAAGTACACTTCAGGTGTTTTATTATAAATGGTGATGTTGTGCTTAAACTGTTTTGGATACACCGTCCTCAGGCTCTAGCTTTGTTTCATGGTGATTGCATTAAAACAAAGAAAACAATCTGAAGCGGTTTTTAATTTATACATACTTTAATTTTACTGGTCTGGCCCACTTGGGACTAGATTTCCCTCAATGTGGCCCCTGAGCAAAACTGAGTTTGACACCCCTGAGTTAGAGGGACTAAAGCATGCCTTGTCAGGTGTGTTGTGCAGTCCTGGTATGCATTTTACATAAATCCCTCCCTGATCAGCCTGTCTTGCTGTGACACCTCTTCATATTTAATTACTTCTAACACATTTTTGGGTTTCCTCCCGTCTGAAGACCTGGCATCACCAGCATCCTTCTCCTAGCTTCATGTCAGCCCCCTCCAGCTTCTCCATCATCTCTAAGGAGGCCTCACTTATAGTAAAATGCATCTCACGGACCAACGCTGAGCTAGCATGAACGTAAAACGTTGTCCTTCCCATTCTGGCGCTATAATTGTACTGAGCTCTGCTCTTCTAGCAGCTCCACTCCCGAGTCAGTCGAGTCGAGTAAATATTGTCAAGGGCGTGGGTGCACTTGCTTCTCCCTCGGCGGCACCCCGGAACCAGCAGCCATGTAGCTCCGGCTAACATTAGCTTGTTAAAAGCAACAATGAACGGCTGCATGCTAATTGCAAGCATGTCCGAGGCCGTTAGCGGTTGTTTTTATACCACAAAACCGCGTCACCGTTCGGCTGGGTTTTAGACGACAACCTCGACACACCCGGGCTGGCCGCGGTGGACACAAAAAGACACACAGGGTGTAATGTTGGTGCGCTTCACAACGCCCTTACCCGTTCCGGTGCTTCCTGTCGTGTCTTTTGGGACGCCTCACGGGCTGTAGGGGAATACTGTCGGTCATCCCTGTCGCCCCCGGTTACCGGTAGGAGCCGAGGCAGTGATCCTGGCTGTAGCTGTCCTAGCCTGGGCGGAGGCTCCCAGCTGTCACTCACTCAGGACGGCTGGCGGAGAGGGACAGATGGCGCGTGCGAACAACAACCATGTGGCGCATTTAGTTTGTTTCACCCACAACATTTTGGTTTAGGGACCTGCAAGCTCTGCTGCTAATGCGCCTCTTATAATTAGACTAAAAAGAATACCTTTATAGTGTTTTAAGCTCTTAAAGAGAAAGAGCTCGTTGAACAACCTCAGTTTGAAGAAACAGAGACTACTTCTGGCCTCATAGACACGCTACTGGTTAGAACTAGTGATGTGTCTGTGGTGAACAAAACGTCTTCAATAGGAGCCAGCGCCCTCTTGGAGGAGTCAAAGTGAGTGGCGCAGACTGTACTAGCAGGATCTGGAGCCGCTAAAAAAAAAACGGCAAAATGGGCAAGCACGCTAGCCCAGCAGGCCTCTGATTGCAGTGAGACCGGGGAAGTGGTGATGGGGTGGTGCTATGCACCTCCAAAGCTGTGGAAGCACGGAGACAGGTGGTGTGCTCAAAATGCCTGGGAGACAATTATTAGATTAACTGATGAGACCTGTAAATATTGGTGGGGACAGATCTGTAATAGATCAGAAAAAAACAACAACAAACAGCGCTACAGAAAGAATAGGCAATGAGTAAAAACAGGACAGACACCAAGATTTTGACACATTTGAAGTACAAGTGATGATTAAAAAGTAGAATGTGGAATATGCAGAGTAAATATAACCAACAGGCTCTAATAGTTCAAAGTTAATAAATACACTCACCAAAAGGATTATTAATTAACACCTGTTCAGCTTCTCCTTAATGCAATTATCTAATCAACCAATCACAGGGCAGTTGCTTCAATGCATGTAGGGGCGTGGTCCTGGTCAAGACAGTCTCCTGAACTCCAAACTGAAGGTCAGAATGGGAAAGAAAGGTGATTTAAGCTATTTAGAGCGTAGCATGGTTGTTGGTGCCAGACGAGCCGGTCTGAGTATTTCACAATCTGCTCAGTTAATGGGATTTTCACACACAACCATTTCTAGGGTGTACAGAGAATGGTGTGAAAAGGGAAATCCATCCAGTATGCAGCAGTCCTGTGGGCAAAAATGCCTTGTTGATGCTAGAGGTCAGAGGTGAATGGGCCGACTGATTCAAGCTGATAGAAGAGCAACTTTGACTGAAATAACCACTCGTTACAACCGAGGAACGCAGCAAAGCATTTGTTAAGCCACGACACGCACAACCTTGAGGAGGATGGACTACAACAGCAGGAGACCCCACCGGGTATCTCCACTACAAATAGGAATAAGAGGCTACAATTTACACCAGCTCACCAAAATCGGACAGACTGGAAAAATGTTTCCTGGTCTGATGAGTCTCCATTTCTGTTGAGACATTCAAATGGTAGTCATAATGAGAACATGGATCCATCATGCCTTTTGTGCAGGCTGGTGGTGGTGGTATAATGGTGTGGGGGGTGTTTTCTTTGCACACTTTAGGCCCCTTAGTGCCAACTGGGCATGGTTTAAATGCCACGGGCTACCTGAGCATTGCTTCTGACCATGTCCACCCCTTCATGACCACCATGCACCCGTCCTCTGATGGCTACTTCCAGCAGGATAATGCACCATGTCATAAAGCTCCAATCATTTCAGACTGGTTTCTTGAATATGACAATGAGTTCACTGTACTACGACGGCCTCCACCAGATCTCAGCCCGATAGAGCATCTTTGGGATGTGGTGGAACGGGAGCTTCGTGCCCTGGATAAAACAAACAGGTGTAATTGTCCACAGTCACAGCCTCTTGTTTTCACCTTGATAAAGAAGGCACAACAATGGCTATACTTCCTGAAGGCTCTCAGGAAGATCAACCTGCCACAAAAAACTGCTGGTGTGGTTTTATCACTGCTCCATAGAGAGTGACCTGACCAACAGCATGCTGGTGTGGTACAGCAGCAGCTTGCAGCTGACAGGAAGGCCCTGCAGAGAGTAATCAAAACTGCAGAGAAAATAACAAACACACCTGCCTGCCCTGGCATGACATCTTCACCACTCGCTGCCTTCGAAAAACCACAAACATCCTGAAGTACTCAACCCACCCTGCTGACCATCTCTTCAGACTTCTTCTGTCTGGTAAACGATGCAGGGCAATGAAAACACACCAGCTGGCCGTTAAACAGCTTTAATGCAAGAGCATCACTGAAGTGATTGTTGCTACTAGGAGGTCACACTAACAGGGATTCTGCTGGAAAATTAGTCACTGCAGCACGTTTACATTAAGCTAGTTCACCCTGATACCTCATGTGACTGTTTACATTTATATTGTTTACTTTATACTTCAGTTTGTAGTTTAGACTTGCCTTATTAGCATGTTTACATTTATGCTTCAAATTGTTTTTGCACCTTGAACCGGCTGTGTGCAAAATGTGTGTGTGTGTGTGTGTGTGTGTGTGTGTGTGTGTGTGTGTGTGTGTGTGTGTGTGTGTGTGTGTGTGTGTGTGTGTGTGTGTGTGAGAGAGAGAGAGAGAGAGAGAGACTGACTTTATTTTAGCCTTGTTATTTTGTATTACCACCTCCTTACAAGGACGTAATTTTCACTTTAGAAGTGTGTGTGTGTGTGGGGGGGGGGGCACGGGGGGGGGGGGGGGTATCTTTACAGTATGTTCTAATGGGAAACCAGCTTCAACACAAACGGTTGTTTTCCGCTTGATCCTAGAGCTCAACCAGTGTCAATTTAATATAGTGTAATATTTTTTTTGGATGATAAAAAGTGCAGGGGTCAAAACTTGACTTTGGAAAAAAAGGGGGGGGGGGCATGTCCCCCCTGTCCCCCCCCCAAATTATGTCCATGCCTCCTTACATGAGCTGTCTTTAATGAGTGCAAAGTCAATTTTGTACTCCTGTGCAATGACAATAAAAATATCCTGACCCCTCATTAGGGTCAAGGGTGGCGTATGTCTCCAGCAGTCATTCGGTGAGAGGCAACCCTGGACTGGTCACCAGTCCATCACAGGGACACAAGTATGTTTTCTTCTACTTAGCATGGCCCGACTAGCCTCTACTCTGCTCTGGTCCACACGGTTCCAGTGGGTTTCCATTACAACTGAGCTAGGGCTCCAGTGGTTGGGCCTAACACAGCTAGGCAGTGAACATGACACAAAAACACAACAGCAGACATGGAGGCGATTTGTCTTGCTTTGGTGGCTTTTTATCAGACTCTGAAAAGACAACTGACTGATATAATTATTGCAAATATTATGGCCAATGGAAACCAAGATGTGTGATTGTATACCTCTGTTGCAAAGGCATCATTTGTATAAAGAGTAACGTCTCCAATAATTACATTTGAATGCTGCAACTTCGGTAGAGCTACACTAATCTTTGTGGTGACCACTTTATGAAAATCAGTATTAGCTTTCGTCATTCCGTTTCAACTATTGATCAAACCTGATCTTTAGAGGATGCAGATGTTTTCAGTGTGTCAAGTTTATATTTTAATTAAAGGATCATGTTTGTTGTCCACAATGAACACCATCAACCATGATCTTGCTCCGAGTACTGTACAGCTTTCCCCACATTGTTGGCTAAGAAAACCTTGGTTCCTATAAGAATAATTATGCAAAAGATGCATCATTTAAACATCATAGTGTCTGTGGCCAATGTACTGTTGACCTAAAATGGATTGCATGCTTTGATTGTAGATGCAAATGTTTTTTCGTTGAGAATGCAAAATGCTGCTGGATTAATGGAACCTGATGGGAAATGAGAATAGGAAAAAAGATGACGAGTCATCTGAAGGTGAATTGATGTAAATTAGGGATTTGATGTGCAGGTTGGTCAGGGTTGACTTCGTTTAACCCTCTGGAGTTAAAACCTACCTACCTGGTTACTCCACATACGAATTTCAAGAGCATTTTAACTCAGAAGTACCCCTGAAGGACTCAGTTGTTCGTCCTTTTATCAAAACTTATTGAGCCTGAGAGGGTTAAGAGTGATTTATGGTCAAGGGAACATCTGGAAACAACCATTTTCCTCATTCTCAGAAAAGTCGAAACAATGTCAAAAAGTCACCCTGATTTTATTTTTTCAAAATCAGAAAACATTAAACTGAAGGAAACTATTAAAAATAAAAACAGAACTATACTGTAAACAAATCAAATTGGCTCCACATTACTGGAATTGTAGAAGCAACTTGAAAGCAGTTTTGACATGGTTTGCTAAAGAAAGGCACAACATGGTAAATGCATATCAATAAGGAATGAACAGCAGGAGCTTACAATGTACTCTGACCAATCGGAGTTGTGTAAAGTGTCCAGTGATACATTCATTACTTTCCAACTCAGCAGGTTGAGAATGAGAACTTCTATAGCATACACAGAAGTTAACGAGAACGTGTCAGAAAATACACAGAACCTTGCATTGAGTGTTGGGGGGGCACCGTGGGAAGGCTAATGAGGTAGAACTTACCCCTAAACTCAAAGCTTTTTGCGTATTATAAATAGTGTGCTACAACACAATGAGATCACCAAAGAAAACATCAAAAACAGACTGAAATTCACTTTGTCATCTTTTCTTTCTGCCGCATCGACAAAGTCGATCTTTTTTCTTCATTACATCTTGCCGATAAAAACTGAAATGTAAATGCAACTAAAACCTGAATAAAGTGCAGGCATGAGAACACCAGCCCTCTGAGCTCAGCCAACTCAGTGTGGCTCTGTAGGTGGAGCTTATGGGGGGGGGGGGGTTCCAAAAGTGATAAAACGGTTTTGAAATGTTTGCCACACTACGGAACAGAACACACAATCGGCTTCAGTCTGACTGGAGTTAAACAACCTACTGGTGCCAAAAAAAAAAAAAATGCTATTTTAATTGAAGATTAGGCACTTGGTAAAACGGTTTGTCTGAACAACGGTAACTTGGCACTAATGTGACAAAAATGTATTTATAATCCATTGTAATCTAAAACTGAACTGTTGCACTTGGATTAAATAGAACATTCCATCTGCTCAAAAGCTCTTTCGAAACAAGAAAAGCTAATGACATTTACCACTACAACACATGTACAATGTCATAAAATCTATGGCACACACAAGGAAAGTAGTCTTTGAGGACATTTACAGTTGATATATATGAACACTGAGACTGTCCAGTGATGTCCTTAGAAAGTTTTGCCCTGAAGCTTTTCCTCCTAATGTCATAATCCTTCAGTTATCAAGAAGACCGTCTGAAATAAAATAAAAGCAGTTTCAAGTAAGTTATACATTCAAAGTTCTTGATAGACACCAAAACAAATCAAGGTCACAGGAGAAAATACCCGCATACGTGTTCAAATAAAATAAAAATACAACTACAGTAGTTATAAATCAAGTTCAACTAAACATAACACTCATGAATCACTGAGATCGGCAGAGGGGTCCGTACTCTAGCTGGGATTCAGTACGGGTTTCCCTGAAGAAAGCGATTGTACCTCATTCATAAAAGGAGACATTCAAACTGAGAACAATTACCTAGTACTTAAAAAGGATTTAATTTACTGCAATTTTACCCTCCTCCATGAAATGTGGGAATTGAGACTTTGGAACACTATCGGAGCTACTTTTCTCTATTTCAGCCATTGCGGCCGGCAAGCCAGACTGAGAGCCATCGATCTTCAACAGACCTCCAGTGGATGCGATTAGAGGTCCACCAGCGGGGCTCCCAGGAAGAGGGATTCCGCCTCCCTGAATGACAGAAATCTCATTGGTCTTCATAGTCAGGCCACCACTAAACGCAGCAGCGGCATACTGGTTCCACAGAGACGGGTCAAAGTTCATAGGTGGTCCACTGAGCTCTTTAGGTGGCTGCATTATTTCTGGAAGTATCTTCGCTTCAGAGCTCATTGCCATCAGGGCCATGGGATTATCGAGGGAAAGACGCTGGCCACGGCGTGACGAGGTGTTCCACATGTGAGTGCCAATGTGAACCTTTAAGCAGTCAAGACGAGGAAAAGAAAAATTTTTAATTTAGTCAAAATGTCTTGGGTCGGGTGCATCTGGCCACCCAAGTACAATCAAACACTTGGGAGGACTTACTTTTAAATTTCCCTTTGTGGTGAAAGCCCTGCCACATATGTTGCAGGCAAACGGCTTTTCCCCGGTATGAGTGCGCTCGTGGATCTGCAAGGCGCTGGCGGATGAAAAGTTCTTGCCGCAGGCATTGCACGTGTGCTGTTTGGTGGATCGACGAGGTGCGGCGGGGACGGAGGAGGGCATGGCAGTTCCCGGAGTCATCTGAGAGCTGAACAATCCGTGAGGCCCCAAAGGATTCTCGGAAGGAATCTTCATCTCCAGACTTGGAGGCATTCTCATGAAAGGCATGCTGCTGGAGGCTGTGAATAAGAGGTGTGGAAAGTTAGATCTATGTATGAACTATGACAGGTTCCCACGTGCATTCATCGGCTACTAAACTCACCGTAGTCCCCATTAGTAAACGGTAGGCTGGGATCTTCCTTAGCAACTTTGGGAATGAAGCTACTGGAAGCTGTGAGGTCGAGAGCTCCACTTGACTCGCTGCCGTCATTTACCCCATCAGGCTCTTGTTTGGACACACTACGGGCAAATTCATCAACAGCTAACTCTGGCGATTTGGTTCTGACGTTCACCGGAGAAGAGGAGTGAAACGACATGGCTGAGTCCGAAACGGCAGGACTGCGACCATTCTGATACTCCTGCTCCCGCTGAGCCGGAGGAGATTCCTTAGACATTCCCTCGCTTTCTGAAGCAGTGCTACTCTGTCGTTTCAGTGCAAGAGCAGTGGTGAGGTTATTCAGAACATCCAGGCTGGAAAACGTGACTGGAGCTACGTGCTTTTGCAGCTGCTCCTCAGTGGCCAAAGGGAGGAAACCTGGGGGCTCATTTGGCTTTTGAGATTTCAGATCAGGCTCGTGATCTTCAACATTTGGTTCAGATCTGTTATCCACAGGCTTCTCGACTGGTAGAGATGGCTCCAACACTTCCGTCTCAAACTGGTTCTCTGGCATTGGGGTGTTGGGAATCTGCCCTCCCATGTGCATTCGAATGTGCTGCTGCAAAACTACAGCATTCGTGAATTTCTTCTGGCAAATGGGACACGAGTGTTGCATTTTAAGAGGAGTGTTTGCTCTGTGCACTCCATAGTGCGCCTTGAGGTTACCCTTAGTGGAGAACGCCCGACCACAGATTTTGCACTTGTATGGCCTTTCTCCGGTGTGTGTGCGGTAATGCATTTTGAGTGAGCTCTGGCAACTGAGAACCCTGTGGCAGATCACGCACTCATTCGGATCATTGGTCCTCTTCTCCAGGCCATCCACCATCTGCTGAAGTTTTGCCGTTCCAGTGCTTGGTTCTCCAGCGAGGGAATTGCCATTCATGTGATGTAGTGAGCCAAATAGTTCTTTGGCATCCTTTTGATTTGAATCCAGTCCTGGATCTTGGCCAAAAACAGGGGGGACCGACGTGGAGCAATCGCTTGTTGACGGAGAGGGTCTTTGAGAGAATGGGTCATTCCCAAAGCCATCAAACGTTGGTTTGAATCCCTGTATCGACTGGGGATTTAACCCAGCAGCTGGATGACTCAAAATGGGCTTCATTTCCGTCATATTTGACTCGTCGATGGGCACAGACATTCCATAAGGAATGCCACTGCTGGTGGGGATATTGTCAAGATGCTCTGGCACCGGGTGAGGATTCATGCTGATATTAGGGTATTTGTCTTTATGCCTCTGGAAGTGCACTTTGAGGTTTCCTTTGGTTGTGAAGCGGTTTCCACATATGTTACACTTGAAAGGCCTCTCTCCAGTGTGAGAGCGTAAATGGATCTGAAGGGCGCTGTCGTTCCCAAAGCTCTTACCACAGTATTTACATTTGTGCTTGTACAACGAGTCCCCCGTCTTTGATTCTGGTGGGAGGGTCAGCATCTTGGTCTTTAACTTTTTAGAGGACTCGATCCCTGCTTGGACACCATTGTAGGCGCTAGGGAAACCCATGACACCAGGCGATGGTGGTAGTAGGGCTGGTAAACGGCTAGCTAGATCTGGAACACCCTTTGACATGTCTGCCTTAGAAGACATTTGTCCCAGTCCTGCACTCAGAGACGAAGGCACGCCGGTGGGCGGAGGTAGTTTACATTGCTTTAACGTCTCCATTGAAAGGCTCTGACTGCCAGTTCTTTTACCTATCAGAGCTGCTGCAGCAGACAGCTGTTGAGAGAGGTGTGCACCGAGGGCTTTCAGAGGGTCCATTGCTGACCCTACAGATGATTGGAGACTCTGAGGAGTCATCATGGCTACCTGGATCCTAATCTGCTCAGTGAGTTGGATTTGCTGTAGCTGCTGTTGCTGAAGACACACAAGCTGCTCCAAGATGACAGGGATGGCCTGGAGAACACCCTGAGGTGATGTCTGAGATGCATTTGAATATTGGGAGACGGCCACTTTTGTGTCAGGCATGGTTTCAAGAGTGACATTTGAATCTTGCATTTTTGGAGAAGACTGGTAGGTTACTTCAGGACTGGTGGATGCCTCTCCCTGGTCCCGGTGTATACAGTCCTCTGCATTCATGGACTCTTCCTCTGTCCTTTCTAGTTGCTCTGTATTGGAATGACTGCTGGACTGGCTGTCATCATGATCGCTGTTAAGGCCTTCAGGAGATCCCTGGGAATACTCGTCAGGCACTTCGCTGCCATCTCCTTTCATGATAACAACTTGCTGACTTTTGGTACAATTTTTCTCATGTTCAAGAAATTCTGCTTCATCAAAGTACTCTGCACAGCACTTGCTGCAGACTCTGGTTTCCTCCATCCTCAACCTCTTCGTGTCGCTTTCAGAGTCTTCGGCTTGATCATCTCCAGGAATTCCTTGAATTAGAAAATACGAAATTCCCGGTATTATTTTCACGTCAATTAAAACCTTAAAATACAGTTTTACATTTTCCTGCTTTTGACACTTGTTTATGTTTTGCACTCATTCTCTGATAAAGAGCATTCGTTTCATTGGGTCCTCTCCCTGTGGGGTCATTGCAGCTGTTAAGTCTGAATGTGTCCATTGTCTCCAGGGCCAGCAGAGGGCAATCATCCACCTTTGATAAAAACACAACAATGTCCCAACAAACTAAAGATCGTTCAATTAGGCATCGATTTTGTTCTCTACAAGAAATTTTTAAATAAGACTGACATGGAGGCTACATCAATTTCACTGAAAATGTTCATTTATTTTTTGTCCAAGAGCCTGCAGTCCTGATCACTTCCTGCACTTTCACACCCAAATAACGCAAGTAGTTGTTTTAAGGGTGCGTTTTCATTTGTGTGCTGACCAAGAGGCCATTTTACAACTGGGTGGATTATTAAATGCAAATGCCTGAGAAAAGAGGCCGACCACCTGTCTGCGTTTGCCCAGGGAAACGTTTGGCCTTGCTGATTGCTCACCAGGAGGCACTGAAGCGGTGTCACCAAACAGCTTAAAGTGGCTTTTCATTCAGACCCACGGAGACGCTTTGCAGGTCATTCAAACTGCATTTAAATAGTTAAAAACACGATTTTTACACATTTTCAATACATTTCAAACCCATTATCATTCATTTTAAAGCGTATCTGTGACACAGAACACCGTTTAACCACTTGATGGCGCGTGACCTGTATCTGATCACCTTTCCAGGGATCTGACACGAGGTCAGACCTAACACGAAACATATAGATCTGCAGATCTATCATTAACATACCAGCAGATCGCTTCAAACTAAATCACAATGCACTGCAGTTCACTTCAACACGCGTTCAAAAAGGCCAGGTTGGCAACTGCATGAGAGTTTGCATAAGGAGACACCAAAAAGCCAGCAAACACCCCCACCCAGTCTCCACAAAAAGGCGACAGCTCCATCCCCCACCTCTCCACATATGTACTAAAGGAAACAGTCATGCATTAAACTGGGGGATTTATTGCCTTTGGGTCAGCCTGACCGAGTCACATTTCATACAGTTTTAGACACCTTTTGTTCAAGAGGGGAATTTGGGATTTTGGGATCGAATGGCGTCAAATGTTGAGCTGGATTCAACTAGAATAACTTCAGCAACTGTAATAGATCAAGACTCGCATTTTACACCACGGTTTTAGGGGTGGGTGGGGGTGGGGGGGTAGAATTGTAACCCAACTGTAACGAACAATCTTAGTGAAACATGTGAAATTACACTCAAGCCTTAAAAATAAGAAGTAAACCCAAATCAAGAAGTTCAAAGAGCTCGCGGAACTAGCAGCGCGTGAAAATGTCACAAAGTAACAGAAACAGGTGTGCGCGTGCAACCAAGCAGCTACCGACAAGCGTTTGATGTTGGGAAGAGAGCTTACGTTGTTGCATCAGAACGCGGCTCGGCACCTGTGATCGAGTCGCGTTTGTTATGAAGTTTGGGCCAAACTCCCACGAGTCAGCAACAGGTCAAAGCGCGTCGGAACCACAGACACAAACCTCCGAGGCTGAAATTAACACACACTTCTGTGGAAAAGCACGGCTGTGTGTGTTCGGGTTACCTCCACCACGCATGCAGCGTGTCCGCGCGTGAGTGTTGTGTGTGTGTGTGTGTGGGTGTGTGTGTGTGCGCGCGTGTAAAACCCACCAGTTTGCTCGGACCCGGGCTCGTCAGAGTTGATGTGCTGCGGCTTGGCTTGCTTGCGCCTCGACATGGTGCAACCATCGGGAGCAAAGCGTCGCAGGAAATATTTCCTCCTCTTCTTCTAGAAAAAATACTCGTCCTGGAAAATTAACCCCTGAAGTGGAAATGCGCATGTCACCGTAATTATTATTATCAATAATGCATTGCGATTTATCACGAGCCCCCGACAGCTGATTGGCTCCAGTCCAAGAGCTCACACGTTATTCAAATGCGCTCCCTATTGATGCGCGGCGCTGCGCGGCGGAGGGGGGCGGGCGGAGCCAGCCCGGGCGGAGCGGAGGGATGGAGGGACGGAGGCAGGGCCAATACCACCCAACCTCTCCCTCTGCTGCTTCCTGTTTCATCAGATACCTCACTGTATCAAGCGAGCGTGGCTTTTTCACTTCAGACCGCCAATTTATAAAGATCAGAACATAAACGAGCTGTTTTTTTCTACACCTCACCCTTTAAACCCTTTTGGTTCTGTCCAGCTAGACCCGTTAGATCCGTTTGAGATCCGTTTGAGATTAACGTTAACAATCAAATTAAAAATGTAAAAGAATTTTTTAAAATGACAAAAACATTTAGCTAGTTGAAATAGGGAAAAAGTCAAAAATAGTATTTGTTTTTCTATTTTTGACTTTCAGAAAGAATAAAAAGTAAACAAACACTGGTGCAAAGACCTAAAATACCCACAATGCATTTGTGTGATCGGTGACTACACACGAGAGAAGATTTCAATTAAAAAAAAGTATTTACCTTAACTTGCATCTGATGTAAACTTTTACAAACATTGTAATGTCATTTTCACCTCTAAAGTGAGGTTATATGGGGTAGTAGACCCTACCTGTAGTTATGGGGTGTGCAAACTCAGGTTCTGGGGGCCACATGTGGCCCTTCGGCGCATCTAAAGTGGCTCCTTGTAGCTCTGACCTGAAGTGGCTTCCTTCTGGGTGATGTTTACATTTAAAATGATGATACAAAAAGAGTCATTTTGGATTCGTTCCTGTCTGAAACTTCTGCAATGCGTGGTGAAACCACCGAACAGCCACTGCTGCAGCTCACCGCGCCCCTCCACGGGGATGGGTCAAACGCGGAGATGGATTTCACCCGTGTGCGATGATGACTATGGGACTTTAACGTTAAAGGAAATTTCTGCAGCAAAATGACGTTATGACAGTTTTTCTCCGTTGGTTTGGCTCGTCTCTTGAAACAGAAAGGACGTTCCCAGAATAACACGGACAAACCTCCACACCTCTTGGCAAATGTTCACAACAGAATGGCATTTCTCATTCATTTTATCAAATGGCAAACGCCTCAGTACGTGTTTCATTTGTCTCAGTGCTTCTTTGCAAATGATAAGGTACATGTAGCCTACAGCTATACAGCTAGCCCACATTTAGCACATTTTCCAAATGAACAGATCTTGTAGATTTAAACTGATTAGTTGATTCTCAGTATAATGATCATTCTCTCCAAAACATGTCAGCATGATTTCATTGGACAAGGACTCGCATGCACAACTGCCTGTTCAATTGTCACAATTGGTCCCTGGGCCACAGTGGATGTCCCAGGTCAGCGAGGGGGCAATGTGTGCTGCCATTTCTGACAATGGTGTGGCCACTCACATCTCCAGTCTTGGTCCATACGACACACACAAGCTCCTCATCTTCCTGGATCGCCTTTATACCGATTTTATCCCTGAAAATGAGAAATAAGTCTCACAGGGCCTCACCTACCTATTTATGTAATTGTGTGGGACAATGTCAATTTCCACCATAGCCCACTCATTAAGGGCTGGTTCGCAACGCATCCAAGGATGGCCATGGAGTTCCTACCACCTTACTCTCCTCTCCTCAATCCGATAGAGGAGTTTTTCCTCTGCTTGGAGGTGGAGAGTGTATGAGCATCAGGCTCAGGATCAGCCGTCCCTGCTCCACGCTATAGATGCAGCGTGTGACGACATTACAGGAGATCAATGCAGGGGACGGTTGCGGCACGCACGCCGTTTCTTCCCTCGTTGCATCGCAAGAGAACGTATCCGCTGTGATGTGGATGAGAATCTGTGGCCAGACGGACAACGGCGTGTGAATAATCAGGAGGGTGAAGACGGTGGACGAGAGCGGGAGAATGAGTACAGCGACCGCTGAATACTTCCTTGTTTTTTGATTTTGTGTTCACACAATTTACTGTATTACTGTAATGTACATTTACATTTACTTTTTACACATGTGTGAAACTTTCTTTGCGTGTGAATAAAAAATGGTTATAATTTCCTTGGTAGTGTGAGTTCAATCTGTGACGTCAAACCTTGGAGGCTGCTCTTTTCGGTTGTATGTTGTTGGTCCTCTGCCACAGGGACAAAACACCTAAACATGTTGTATGGCAGGACTCACACAACGACAAAGGGACGATGCATTTTGGGGGCACTGACGTTTCAGATCAGAAGGAAATGTAGTTTTGACACACGAGTGAACTGTTTTAGGAGAGATATGAGCTTTTGCAGGTAAACCGTGTTGTTGTGATCAACCGTCCAGGTTAATTTGGACAAAAGCACCAAGAGTGACGAGAATGTCCGATCTGTGTCGAGAAACGAGCCAAAGCTGTTGAGAAGGATCTTTGCCCTTTTGGAGACACCGACTGTTTAAATGAGAAAGGGATTCAGATTGAAGCCTGAGTGAACAGTTTTGGAATGGAAAATGGTAAATGGCCTGTATTTGATATAGCACCTTCTAGAGTCCTGGAACCCCCCAAGGCGCTTTACAACACAATCAGTCATTCACCCATTCACACACACATTCACACACTGGTGGGGATAAGCTACAATGTAGCTACAGCTGCCCTGGAGCGCACTGACAGAGGCGAGGCTGCCGAGCACTGACGCCACCGGTCCCTCCGACCACCACCAGCAGGCAACGTGGGTTAAGTGTCTTGCCCAAGGACACAACGACAGCGACAGACTGAGCGGGACTCGAACCTGCAACCTTCCGATTACGGGGGCGAGCACCTAACTCCTGTGCCACCGTCGCCCACACGGCGATATGAGATTTTGCAGGTGAGCTGTAGTGTTGTGCTAAACTGTAAGAGTGTTATGCTAAATGATTTTAGAGGTTTGAGAATGTAATTTCTATTTCAAGAAATGAGCCAAACCAATGGAGAAATCTGTCATACAAAAAAGGATCACACATTTGGTAGCTTTAGATCCAGAATCAGCTAAAATGGTTGAGTTCAAAAATGTTTCATTGGCAGAAATGTGTCTTAACATTGAGCGTGAAGTCATTTAACGGTCTGCAGTTATTTATTAGTTCTCTTAGACAGGAGTCACTCAGCTGCTATTTAAAAATACTAAACTATTGATTTGTGAGATATTCGTTGTTTTGTATTGTTGTCAAACAGATCAAACATATTATTATTCAGATTTTACACGCTGGTGTCCTCTCCTCCAAACAGAGTTAAAAACAAACCGTGACGTGACCAAAAGGATGCTGGCAGACTTCGTCTGCTCCGGCTTCACACTGCTGCAGGAGGTTGTGTGCCCAAAACATTCCAGGATGTTCTCAGCTCATCACTCAGGAGAATCAACAAAGAGGTGAGAACGTGTTCTTAATGCAGCGCCTAAACCCCCCCCCCCCCAACAGAGTCGGTTTTGAAGCTGCAACTAAAAGATTCGGATGCATTCATGAAGTCATTTATCGAGCCATTAACAAAAAAGCACGCGGGATGTCTCGGAAAATGGGTTTAGCTGCTGCTGAGAACACGGCAGACAAGTTGTGGAAAGAGTGTTCGCATAAAGAATCAATAAAGATTAAATCATGTTTAAAAAACTTTATAGAGTTTGGTAGATTTTTATCTCTGCTGGATTAAAAATAGGTGTCATTTAAATGTGTGGATGGATTCAGAAAGAAAGCTGCGGCTGAAATAATCTCCAGTTTGAGACTGGAGATTTCCCACTCCTCTCCAGCTTGTGTTAGTTAATGCCACCGCTGATAAAGGGAGACAATACATTCAGATAAACAAATGTCCTTTAAGCTGAAGGTAATGAAAGAGGGGAGTGCTGTCTAGACAGTTTATTGCCCCCAATAAGAAACAAAACTTTGAATACAGTGTTTCATCTGCGCTCCGTCCAAACAAGTCCAGCTGTCGTAAAACTGCTGCTGTGGGAACCAGAAGGGATGTCAGCTGCGAGGGTTTTTTTTTTTTTTTTAAGAAAAAACACTCACAAATGAATCTTAAATGTTCCCGACTACAAGAACCATGTCAGTAGATCACAAATAAATCATATTTGATCAGGGGTGTGAAAAGGCAGCCTGCACAGCTCTGGTTCAGAGTGATGTTGAAGCAGCTGCAAGTGATAATTGTCAGATTGCAGCAGGTTGACCATTTATTGTGAAGCCAAACTAAACAAGCTGCTTTTGTTTTGATGTCATTTCCTGGTAAATCGGAGCTCTCTCTCTCTCTCTCTCTCTCTCTCTCTCTCTCTCTCTCTCTCTCTCTCTCTCTCTCTCTCTCTCTCTCTCTCTCTCTCTCTCTCTCTCTCTCTCTCTCTCTCTCTCTCTCTCTCTCTCTCTCTCTCTCTGTGGTTTTTACCACAATGTGGGATGTTTTTCTGCAAGACCCTTTTCTCACATCTGCAAAGATTTACTGACTTTTAATTACACTGTTTTCTTCTGTTGATAGATAGATAGATAGATAGATAGATAGATAGATAGATGACAGATGATAGATAGATAGATAGATAGATAGATAGATAGATAGATAGATAGATAGATAGATAGATAGATAGATAGATAGATAGATAGATGATAGATAGATAGACTGATTGATTGATTGATAGCTAGATAGATTGATAGCTAGATAGATAGATAGATAGATAGATAGATGATAGATAGATGATAGCTAGATAGATGATAGATGACAGATGATAGATAGATAGATAGATGATAGATAGATAGATAGATAGATGATAGATAGATAGATAGATAGATAGATAGATGATAGATAGATAGATAGATAGATAGATAGATGATAGATAGATAGATAGATAGATAGATGATAGATAGATAGATAGATAGATAGATAGATAGATAGATAGATGATAGCTAGCTAGCTAGCTATCATCTATCTATCTATCTATCTATCTATCTATCTATCTATCTATCATCTATCTATCTATCTATCATCTGTCATCTATCATCTATCTAGCTATCATCTATCTATCTAGCTAGCTAGC